GCATCCAAGAATATTATGATTTTTTTTGTTCAAAAATAGTACCACTAATGCAAAAGTGATAGAGGAAAAACTTGGCGTGAACATCATCCCCCAGATGATGATATCTTATTTGGTGACACCCTATAGATTTCAAGTGCAGCTATAGCTGCAGGGTACCAGAAATTTACTGTGCTAAGATAAAACGTGTGAAAAAGTTATATTTAAGCTGGCGTTTTAAAATAAAAAAATTTGCGGATTGATTTTAAAAAATAAAAATGTATGTCTACGACCTAATGGTATATACCTTCCAGTCATTTTCTTCTTCATGTAATAGTGATATCGTACTTAAGATTAAAATGTTGAATGGCATAACTGCATTTTATTTATCATCAAAAAGCCTAACTTTGTCTTAAATTAACCCAACATTGTAGGTATTTCCAGTACAGTACATTGAATTTGTGGTAACCTGTATAGACGCTTTATATCAACACCACGGTTTAAAATAAAAAAATAACATTTGCACCAATAAAAAAAGAAAAAAGCCTAAAGTGTAGGGTAATTAATAAATACCTATCAAAGAAATAAACAAAGTTATTAAACAAACATTTTTTTATTTATATGTATAATACATAATGTATTAACTCTTATTACTACTTCTACTAAAAAGATACCTAACATACAAAATTAAAAAAGTAGTCCTATGAAAATAATTATTTATTAATCATTTAAATGGCACTCCAGATGCGAGTAGACATGGTCACCTGTTACGGCGCATGTCAGCCAGCTCGTCGACGCGTCAAAATAATTTTTGGGAACGTTTTCGCTTCGTGCTGACTTCGACTTGTTTGGTCTACCTACAATGTATTTTCCTTATGTATATCTTGCAAATGAAGGTATACCGAATACGGTCACCGTATTACGGTGTATAAATAGGTATATATAAAAATATTTAAATTCATGTATTTATCTTCCCATAATACACTCGAAGTAAATTTTTAACCTAATAATTTTTTTTTAATTATCTTAAACCTTTTTTTCATTAAAATCTCGAATTAAGGGACATTGGAAAAATGACCTTAATTCTCGACTAATTTTTATGGCAAAAAGATTTTCGTAAAAAAAAATTATCCGGTAAAAAATTGACCTCTTGCATTAACCCCCGATAAATTATCACTATACAAGTTGTTCTTCCAGAAATGCCTTTGATCAGTAAAAATAAATTAAAATAAATTTGAAAACAATAACTTTTATCTCAGAAATTTGCAGACATTCAGTTCCAGTGCTGCCGGAGCCATATGTCAGCATCACCCGCGTGCGCGAATGAAAATACCCGCTTTTACCCGCCATTTTAATTTTAGAAAACTTCAAATTTAAATGTGAAAAAAAAAACAATCAAATAAAATCTTTTATATTTCTGTAAAACATTTCAAAATAAATAACACTTAAAAATTATACTTAATAATAATTATAGTATAAACATTGAGTAATGGTATAATGGTATAAATGAATTCATAAGCATTTCTTCTGGCTGGTTCACTGTTGACTTGTTTTCCAAATTTTAGCGTTGATCATTTCCTGACTTTCAAATTTAAGGCAAGCAGTTTTGTAGATATTAAAGACGGCAACGTTGTACTGTCTAACGAATTTCTATGATCGGTCTTAATATTTTTTAGGTCACTGAAAATTCACCAAACACCAAAATTTGTCATCAGCAAGTAGCGACGAAACCACAGATGTGGATGTGGACGAACCCGTCCACACTACTCGGCATTCGGCGAGCAGTCGCTCGGTACTTGCCGAATGCCGCATGTCTGACGCCGAGTTGACTGCGTATGTTGAGTTGCATAAGATCAATTTTTTGTTTCAATATTTCTTGTTTTACTAATATTTTCCGAAAAATACCCGGTTTTACCCGCTTCAAACTTTTACCCGCACGCTGTATAAAATTACCCGCTTTTCGGGTAAAATACCCACAATTGGCAGCACTGTTCAGTTCTGAGATAAAACAAAGTTATCGTTTTCAAGTCCATTAATTGCAATTAACGACCACCCCTTAATTACAATTAATGAACTAGCCCGCCTTTGCCTTTTACGTGTCTGTCGCCCGCCTTTGCCTTTTACCTGTCTATCGCCCGCCTTTGCGTATCTATCACTTTCCTTTACGTATCTATAACTTACCTTACCTTCTCCAATTTAAATTGGAGAAATACAGGTATAAGTGATGGATACGTAAAGGCAAAGGCGGGCGATAGATACTTAAAAGAGAAAGGCGGGCGAGTTCATTAATTGGAATTTAGGGGTGGTAGGAATTCCTTTACTCTAATAATAATAAATCCTTTACTTACTCTAATAATAAGTACTTCAAAAATTACACTAATATTGTCAATTCTATTTAAAACAAAATAATTTTCATAAAAAATAAGTTAGTCAACTTACTTTCAAAATTTTCCATAAAATGAAGAAGCCCCACTCTTCTAGAATTTTCTTGTACTCCATTATAGTCCAGAGAAAAAAGCCAGTCACAGGACGGATCACCCACAACACACGGTAAACAAAATATTTTCTTGGCCACTTTTTTAATTTGAATAATAATAATTAAATTATTATTCATTTAAAATTGCAAGCTCAACGTACCGTCCACAAACAATCAGCAAGTGAACGTGCCGGCAGGCTCGGACAACGCGTTTGAACGCCGAAGCGTGCGATAATACCCGAATAGGGCGGAAACACCCGAAATACGGATTTTAAGAAATGGGGTAGTTAAATTTTTTCTGACCTATACTTTTTATGGTTTTATTCAAGGCGTTTTGTAATTTTAAACATTTCTGTGAAATCGGAATTTCAATTGAGTTTACCGTTTTCGAGATATTTACAAAAAAAAGTCTCCTAATTACGTCACTAGGCTATTGACAACGTTGCCAGCTTTTTCTATGGTGTTTAGTTTAAGATTCTTACGATAGATGGCGCCACGTTATAATATTTTAGTTTTAAAACTACTTGATCTAAAATTTTAGTTGAGGAGAAGAAGAAGAATTGATTTTTTGACGTTTCTTTTTTTCGGGTTGTTTTTTTTTTTAATTTAGATTATTGAAAATCAATGTTATTATTATGTTATTTGTAATTGATATTATATAAGTGATTTATTAATAACTGACTCCAAAGCAGAGGAATCTTGTGGAATGGTTGGTTACATTGAACATTGGAGCTATTAAACAAATAAAGTAAGTAGGTACCTATAATTATAATCATATTTTGTAGTAAATGCATTTCATTAGTATAATGCCTAGTTCTTTATATTCTTTTAGATATATCTTGGACTCTAAAATATCAAACAGTAATATGATACCTCGTAATAAGGAAGATAGGTACTTAATGAATTTGGTGACCATCTGTTTGAATAATTTTAATCAAAATGTCTATTTGTAGACCCTGCACTATCTTTACCTACTATGTACGTTATTGCAGCAATATTTAAACCAGAATTTTTGAAAAGTACAAAAATGTACTCTAGAGCATAGTACCTTCGAACAGTCGAGCGCTCGAGGATAGCAGTCCAAAAGTTTGTCATACATTTTTTAAATCTTACAAAAGGTTTTGATGCTCATCATCAGGGATGCAAGTTTTATAAAAACTATACACAAATATCATAAATACCATTGTTAACTTACATTTACTGTTATTTTTTGTAAATTTATTTCATTAATTTTCAGCTTTATTTTGCCACTTTTCTATGAAATATATTAAACTCTGCTTTAGACAGTTATTAGGTACCTATTTATTACATTTTATTAGGTTTCACACGGTGTTTCAATGTGTAAACCTATCAATAAAACTTTTAATTTCAGAATTTTCTTTAACCTCCTCTTCTTCTTTCACTCAACTGACAGTGACAGTATTTGTACATAACCTCTTCGGGTATTTTCTGACATAACCGAATGAAATCATTAACAAGACAACTTGACAACAGGGTAATTTTCAACCAATAGAAATCTTAGAATGTTGGTCACATGGCGGGGTTTGTGACGTCATAAAAATTTATATTTTTTGTAAATATCTCGAAAACGGTAAACTCAATTGAAATTCTGATTTCACAGAAATGTTTAATATTACAAAACGCCTTGAATAAAACCATAAAAAGTATAGGTCAGAAAAAATTTAACTACCCCATTGTATTTATTGGGGCAGCAAAGTTTTTATTAAAAACAAATAAAAATTCTTTTGAAAAACGTTTTTCCTGTTACTAATATGTATTTTGTTATTGTGAAATATTAAATGAAATATTTATTATCGACGGCAAAGAGCTTTTTAAGATCAATAAAGAGACACCAGTAAACTCTATTTTACTGCTACAAGAAATTCAATTTTTAACTTTGGGAAATATTTTAGTAGTGATAGCTAAAAATACATCAGTAAAGAGGTTTTTGCTGCAGATTTTCTCAGTGTAAAATTCAGGAGTACTACTATAACGTAGGTTCCCCCCTTTTTTCTTGACCTTTAAAGCGTCTGGGGGGGGTTTGGGCCCCTCGGATTGGTCTGGCTGCTTACAAAAGGTCTTAAAATAATCACTCAAAAAATATATGTAAAATTCAGGAGTACTACTATAACGTAGGTTCAGCCCTTTTTTCTTGAGCTTTAAAGCGTCTGGCGGAAGTTAGGTCCCCTGGAATGCGTCTGGCAATAATGAATGTTGGTTTTTAATAACAATGTGTAAAACATATATGAAAACCAGCGGTATTACTTTAACGTAGACAGGTACCTTTTTTATGTAACTTTAGTGCCCGTTATCTGTAAAAGGGCCCCGCTTTCAAGCTTGCAAGTACCCATACGTTTTTAACTACATATTAGGACATTTATTAAAAAAATCTCAGCAGTATTAAAATGACGTAGGTCTGGCGGCCCTGGGATCTTGGACTATTAAGTATTATAGGTATTCCTATAATTATTGTGGTATAATATAACTTGTTTAATAAGATAAAAACTTTAGAAATTAATTAAAAAAACTTGGGTAAATAACAGGTAGGTATAAAAAATATTTTATTCCATTAATACTTATAACTTGAAACAAGATTTGTGTTTATGTCATAATTTTGTGTTGCTATCTTTCTTCTTGGAGGTGGGAAGCAAATTATGTCTTCTCATATTATTAATGACGCCATCCAGTGACGTTGTTTTCTTTTTGGCACTTCCTTTAAGTCTTTCTTCCCCTTTATTCCTTATTTTTAACTTTGGCAAGCTCATTTCATCCATAAAATCAAAATCTGTTTTTTCCTCTTCCCTAAAAAACAAATTAATAAAAAATAATAATAATTAAAAAACATTAAAAGCATTTAATAATTACTGTTTAAAGTCGTTTTCTTCCTCAGGCTCTTCAGTAGCTTCAGGGGAAGGAGAATTATATCCAGGACATTTCCAACTCAACTCGGGTATTTCGCCATTGTCCAATAAAGTGTAAATCCTGTCAACTTCTTCCGGAGCAGGTTCCCATGGGCCTTTAATATCTTTAAACTCTTCATCGGAACATTCAATATCAAAATTATCATCCATTTTTTGTTTTATTTTGAGGTTATGCTTAATGTTTGACAGTTGTTAGTAGTTCAAATGTTTCACCATAGGCGTAGTTGGTTAATTTTTATAAAGGGCAACAATAAAAAGAAAATATTTGAGTTATTTTTTATTATTCTTTCTATCTACAATTGTGCTTTGGAACATTAGAGAAACCAGAAACCTTAACATTAATAATACTGATGTAGGCCGATGTCATATCGATTAAATACATCTTGATATAAAAAGATTTTGTTAAACATTCGAGCAATAACATTATTTATAAATAGGAAACGATTCAGATAAAATTTCAATTACTTATCAATTATATTGCTTGACGCATTTAACTGCTAATTGTACTTATGTAATCTGGGCGTAATTCCTTCATTTCAGTGCAGGATTCCGAGTTTAGGAGGGGGATGCTATCCGATGAACCTATTCGGGAAATGTCGACTGTCGTCGATTCGGAAACGTTCGGTTCTGCGTTCACTACGTCATCGATCAGATGCGAACGGATGTTTATTGTTGGGAAGAATGATTTTGTTTTAATAAAAATATACCAATTCTGAAAATATATTAAAATGAGTTTTTTACGTTCCATTCTTAGACCATTTATAAATATATATTGCAATATTGCTCTCCAAACGGCCCGACAATATTTTTAAAACATATGTGTTATGTGGGGGGACCTAATTAGGCCAAAGATTTTGAGAAAAAAAATTCTCAAGCGACCTCTAAAAACTTTTTACTGTTGAAACTCGAGATTTGATCAAATACTTGAAAGTTATTTTTTTATGTGATCTCGAAAATCAAAAATTGTCGAAAAAATACTACAACCCTAATGTTTATGGTTAAATAGAATGCTTTTGTTTGGAAGTGTAATTTTTTTGAATTTATTAGATAGGTAGGTGCGAAACATTTTTATTAGACCCAGGGCGCAAATTTTTATTACTATTTTGACTTAAAATTCGACCTACAAAATAAATAATGAGAAGCCAAAGATTTTAAGAAAAAAAAGGTTGGATTTAGAAAATTCTCAAACGACCTCTAAAAACATTTTTCTGTTGAAACTCAAATACTTCAAACTTATTTTTATGTGAAAAATCAAAAAAATGTCGAAAAAATACTTCAACCCTAATGTTTATGGTTAAGTAGAATGCTTTTGTTAAGAAGTGTAATTTCTTTGAATTTCTTAGATAGGTAGGTGCGAAACATTTTTATTAGACCCAGGGCGCAAATTTTTATATTACTATTTTGACTTAAAATTGTATTACGTTTCTATTCGACCTACAAAAAAAATAATGAGAAGCCAAAGATTTTGAGAAAAAAAAGGTTGGTTTTAGAAAATTCTCAAGCGACCTCTAAAAACTTTTTTCTGTTGAAAGTCAAATACTTCAAACTTATTTTTTTATGTGATATCCAAAATCAAAAAAATGTCAAAAAAATACTACAACCCTAATGTTTATTGTTAAATAGAATGCTTTTGTTAAGAAGTGTAATTTCTTAGATAGGTAGGAGCGAAACATTTTTATTTTATCCGAAACTGGCAGTAAAGTAGCCGATTTAATACGAGTATTGTATGCAACCCATTATACATTTTAATATGTGTCTACTGCTCCTCAGCAGCAACTAAATAATATTTAAAAAAAGCACCGTCGCGGAGGTCGATTGGACCCTTTCATAAAATGTTTAATAAAAATAATAAGTTAATTTTATTAATTTGATTAAAAAATTGCCGCGGCGGGCAAATATATTATAACTGTCGCAACAAACAGTAGACACTTCCTACACTCAAAAAATGACATTTGAATTGATTATAATCGATAATTATCGAATGACATTTAATTTAATCATCAATATTAATTATTAGTAGAGTAAAGTAGCCGTATGTGGAATACTCCCTATAATGTGGTATACCTCCTTTGCGGCAAAACTAATAGCGCCATATATCTTCCAATACGCTAATCAGAAACTCTTTCTATTATGTTTCACCCCTAGCAACACCATAGAGCATTTCGCGGCTGTCGCTTGCCAATATTGGTTTAAAACGAATTGTAACGGTCGCTACATTTTTGCACGTGTTTATATAAACATCTATTGTGACTCCATTTATAGAAATTTTTGCAAGATTGGTGTATAAGCGTAAAGGTAGGTAGTGGATGATTGTGAAATGTGTAAATATTTCATTAATATTTTGTTTTTAATGTTTTACAAACATTGTTTACAAATATTTAAAAAGTCGCTATTGTGGAATACGAATTACTGTCTGAATGTGGAATATTCCACATTAGAGGCTTTTCGTATTTTATAATGGAATAAATAAATGTATGTTATTTTTCAATAATATTTTGCTTTACTTTAAAAAAACAAATTATTTTAATATCAAGTCCGATATTAAACCCATTCCACATTAGCGTATATTGGTATTCCACATTAGCGTATATTGCAACACTTCACACGCTATCTATATTCCAAAATGCGCATAATAATTTTAAAGTTTTCATTTTTATTTTTCAAAAAAACAAAACAGTATTTCACAATCGGCTACTTTACTCTATTATTAAATGTGATTTCGGATAAAATTTAATATGCACCTCGGCATTAAAGTCATTTTTTATCACTCACCTGGTTATAATAATTTTCACATTCGTGATTAAAAATACGACTTTACTGCCTTGATACATAAATAACTATTTGTGTTATGTGGGCCTATCCCACATATATACTTCTACAAGTATGTGGCCTATCCTAATCCTCAAATGTCAAAATATGACATCAGTTTTATTACTTACCAAAATGCATGAGGTAACCGCATATATAATTGACATGCTATAATTTTCGTTAACATTTTCTAAAGCTAAAACTACGATAAACCAAACTATATCGTATCCAGTTTGAACCACGCATAGCATCTTCAAACAAGTTCTCGATTCTCTTAAGCTCGCAACCTCGCCGTCTTGACTATAATCGGATTTTTTTTCGCCAGTCAAATCCAATTCGTTCTTTAGGGCGCTCAGGGACTCGGCCGAGCTGCTGAACTCGAGCTTAGAGAGTTCCAAGTTGATTTTTCTCAAGCCGTTCAGAGAGTAAATTGTCGTTAAAACTATAAGTATTGATACTGGAAGCATGTAGTTCAAAATCATTCCTTTTTGAACGGATATGAAACAGAATCGTCGCGATTCGTAGCTGTGAGGCGCAACTATATACGACATCTTAAAAATAAGAATTTATTTTAGTTTTTTTGTTTTTGATTTAATTGGAGAGTTCCCACTGGGAAAAATAATATTTCTAAAATGTTACTGAACGTTAGTTACATTAAATGTTGGGTATAAATTACATTAAATGTTACACCGTGTAATGTTACAAAAATCCTTGTGGCAATGTTGCTCGAAGCGCGTCTCCCGAATGGTATGGCCCAATGACTAATGCACCATACCCAGATACCATAGAGTAAGAAAGAATAGAATACCATAGAGTAAAGAATAGAATACCATAGTGTCTCTGCCTGATACCCACCAACACTGACAGACAGACTGTTTCAACCTGTTGGGTCTCATCAGAGTCAGACAGTCGGTGACGGGAGACACGCATCAAGATCGGCACTGTTCACTTATAAAGATATAAATGACCAGGACAGCGGCGAGATGCATCGGCAAGTCAGTCTGCAAACAACGTTGCAAAAATGATCTTAATGCAATATTTCGGATGAAACATTGTCCAAAACTAAAGTTATAATTACACTGAGAAAAAAATGGGACAAATAAACTGTGTAGCTAATACTTTTATTAATAGTGAATATATTGTTTATTACCTCTAAATAGTCGAAATAATAACAATCAATATACTTTAGTAAAACTTTATGTGTCGGGAATAAAAATATATTTAGGATAAATAAACTGTACCCTTGTCCCATATTTAAATATTTTTTTTATTTGGGAGCAATAAACTTTTTTCTCAGTGTATAAATGTAATATTATGGTTTCAAATGTTTATATTGTTTATATAAAGCAACATTGCAAAAATCATCTTAATATTTCGGATGAAACATTGCCCAAAACTTATCAATGTAATATTATAATTGCAATGTTCCAAAAATTTTGCAAATTAAATGTTTATATAAAGTAACTTTGCAAAAATTATCTTAATGTAATATTTTGGATGAAACATTGCCCAAAACTTATCAATGCAATATTATAATTGCAATGTTTCAAAAATATTCCCAAACATTCCAAAATAAATGTTTCTATTGTATATTTAAAGTAAAGTTGCAAACATTTTTCATTTGAAAGTTGTGTTAATATTTCAATTGAAACATTGAAAGAAAGTTATGTCTGCAATATTATAATTGTAATTTTTAAAAAATTTTATGCAACAGTTTATACTAAATGTCACTAATATAACATTGTAAAAACTTTCCATTTGAATCTTTAAATAATGTTTCAAATTTAAGGTTGTTGGAAATTATTATATGCAATATTTCAAATGTAACATTTCATTTATGTTAATGCAAGTAGCACAGGAAATATTTTATTTGCAAAGTCGGCGAACATTGCAGCAATATTTTGTAATTTTCTTTCCCAGTGGGTTATATACTTACAAATGTTAGAAAAATAGGTGTCCCATATGCTATCATGCTATAATACTTAATATTTACAGGTTTACAAGTTGATACCCTCTGGTAAATGTAGTAACAATACAAAAATAACCAAATTGCTGTTAGAAGATGTAAATAATGTAGAACCAGAGAAATTATTAGGCATTTTAACGCACTTTTTGTTGCCTAAAAATATAAAAGTGCGAATAATAGAGTATTGACCAAAATTCTAATTTAAAAGTTTCTTACATAAACACCCAACATGAAAAGTAAATTCGAAGTACAAAAACAGCAAACAAGGTGTAAAAACATCAGTTTCATTTCTCTTTTGCCGTTCACATTTTTCCTCAGTAAAACGCAAAATATTGTTAAAAGTTGGGCTGCGCAACTCAGAACAGACCCTAAAATAAAAAAATTAAACCTGCCTTCACACTTTCTTCGCAAATGTTTACCTATGATGATGGTTTCGGATCCATATCCGCTAGAAATTCTATTATGAGATCCATAATAAACGTACATTATGTTATCTATAAAATCATGATCTTTTAGATCGGTGTCGGCTAAAGAATCATCTGGCAATTCTACATTTGGAAGCACATCGACAGTGTATTTGGAATCAATATTTTCCGGATTCGGTAAAATTAATGAATCCGGTTTGAATTCTATATTAATAGTATTATTCCTTATTTCGTAATCATAGTTTAAATAATAATCATCCGCTCTGCGTTTGGTGCTATTCCCAAAAGAACCTTAAAGAACAACAAAATAAGATCCAGGGGTTATATCAAGTCTTGTTTTTTGTTGTTATCAATATACAGGATGTCTCAAAAGTCAAGGACAGCAGAAAAGTAGCAATCACAGTCGTGCTCTAGCAGAATGATTAAAGGTGGGACAACACAAACTTTTGTAGAAATTCCATGGCTAAGAACCTATCAATTTTATTTTTTCACTGTTGGTTTTTTAGGTTCAGGAGGACCTTTTCTTTTTGTTATTTTTTTGAACATGCGACTTAATAAATAAGTTAATACAAGGTTAATGGTGATATACTTTACTTTACTTTTTTTAAATAAGTTAAAATAATTATTTTATTAATATTAATAATAATTAATTTTAACAATCTTATTTAATTAGAGATATTTATGAATATGCAATAATCACACCCAACAAGCATTTTTGGTTCCAAAAACCATTACCAAAGTGGTGATAACTTTAAATTAGTTAAGTATACTAAACAGCTACTTTAATTTTTACTTAAAAGTAATTCTAACTTTTAAATAGCAATATTTTGTAACAGAAACTTAATTCTTTCCTTAAATGGTTACTTTAAATAAATAAACATTTAAGTAAAACTTCGTTGCCCCCAAAAAGACTTTGCAACTTTAAAAAAGGTGTTATAAGTAAAAAAAACTTTTAAGTAAATTTAATTTGTAGCAGTTACTTTCAGTTGCTACATAAAGATTACATTATAATTATTTTACTTTGTAGTCCCAAGTTAAAATCTCGAAACTGGAACATGAGTTAAAAACTACAAAGTTAATAACTATAATTATAATATTATTTTAGTATTTGGAACGTTTATGGTACTAACCAAAACTACCGTAAAGAAAATTAAGGTGGAAAAAAACTTTAAAGTAGCGAGAACTACTTCAAAGGAAAATGCTTCTTATCGGCCATTTTTTACTGTTCAGTACCACGTGGTAATGTAAATAATAAATTATTTTAATTGTTTGTAAATGGTTGTTTACTTTTTAATAAATAGTAATTTTGTTGGTTAAAGGCGGTAAGGTAAACGTCCCAATTATCGACACCTTAAGAGATTTTTCTAAATCATATCGTTATAAAAATTTGCATATTAAAGTTACACTTTTAACAATTTTACTGTGGATTGTTATAATATTGATTATTGCTTTGCAATGTTTATTTTTTAAATAGCAATGCGTAATTTATATGCAAAAAATAAATTTGTTGAAAAGTACCATTTGACCCAGTTATCGACATGGGAAAATTTGTCTTGAACCAAATATCGACACCCTTGCGTACGTAATATCGACACTCGGAAAAGTAACTTGCAATCGATTTAAATGGTTATAATAAGTAACAAAGAGTTTATCATAAAAGTTTATTTATTATAAAATATAAGCAGTATTTATTGCAAACAAAAATGTTTGACGATAAAGGTACCTATTTTAAACACTGAATCATAAATCTCTAGTACGCAGTAAAGTCCGCGTTTTTTTTTGTTCCTTAATTTTTTAAGGACCTCTTCTCTATCATACCAAAGAATATTATCCCTTTGTCCCATATCCCATATCGAATTGACCCCATTTTTCTCCATATGTAAGACTTGTTAATCAAACTCATAATTTTCTTTACAATGATACCTATGTCAATAATTTTACCTGGTAGTGATTGATCGTTATAATTCACTATAACATAATCTTTTACAAATAACTCTTCTTAAGTCATGTTTGTAAATGTTTTTTTCCCATTTTTCACTATTTTAAAACATTCTTTCTGAAAAAAAAAATAGGTTGAACCAGTTATCGACATTTTTGGTACCAAATATCGACATATAAATTACATCCACTCCACAGACTTTGATCCACTCTAACGATGTTACCAATGGAAAAAATGGGTGTCGATAATTGGTACAGCGGTAGTTTAATATAATTTCCTTTAAACTCTTCAGACAGAGTAAGAATAAGTTTGATAGACATTTAAATATTCATAAGAAAAGAGAAAGCTACATAGTACCATTTATCGACACCTATGTCGATAAATCGTACAAAGCCTAAAAATGGATGTACCTTTTATCGACACCACATAATTTTACGTTTATACTGATTCTATGCCAAATTATTGGCAAAAACCATACATTATAGATTCTGTATATAAATATACAACTATCTACATAAAGAAACTTAAATATTTTAAACTAAAATTGCCATAATTAACTTACCTGTTTCTTAACACTTTTCTTAAGGATTTGCACAAGTTCACAGATGACTGCGGAATGGCGGGATTAAAATATTTTTTCAATTAATATTTTCTGCATAACCGACCGAAACTTTTTAGGAAAGGTAGGGAAAACCTACTTGTTTCTTATTTTAATATGACAATAGATGTCCAAAGCATCAAATTCTTATTTTTGAATGTTTATAAACACTATAGTGCACAAATGTCGATGATTGGGACAGTGTCGATAATTGGGACGTTTACCTTATTAATAATTAAATAAATAATTTGTTTATACTTAAATATTGATGAAGCGTATTTATTTTACAAAAACTAAATTTATAAGTTCAACAGTAAAATAAATTTAAAGGGTTTATAAATTTACCTGCCTAATTAAACATTGTATTGTTATTCTGGAAGTTATAAACTACCAGTACATGTTTAATAAACAACGACATTGAAAAACCAAGTCCGTAGTGGTTCCATTTAAAAAAGGAGGGATAGTATAATCTAATATAAGTTTGACAAAGACAGTTAATATAGAAGTAAAAACAAATAAATATAAGTAATTATAACGCTCTAGCAACGATATTGAAACGTTCTAGTAACGTAGCAGCTACGTTCCAAATAGTAGCAGGGTAGCTAGTGACATATTTGCTACCTTTTTGGAACTCAATAATTGTTCCCCACTTTAGTCGTAACTTAGTAATGAAAGAGTAATATAAAAAGACCGGCGACTATCGCAAAACTGTTGCTTGGGCAATCCACACAACATGGCCTGTTTTATCTCGTTTCGCGCATACTAAAAATCACTGCAACACTGTACCGAATCTAACGGCGGCCATTTTTATGTTGTTTGCAATTCTTGTGCTTTGGGTTTATGCTGTTACAGATTAAAAATCGTTTTAAACGTTGTGTTTCTTAAATAGGCACTTGTAAGACTTAAACCATTTAAACCTTATTTTATCAGGGCTGTCATCAAACTGTCAAATTTAAATTTGTGGGTTATGGTAAATTAACCTTAACATTGAAATTTGACAGTTTAATGACAGCCCTGATAGAATCAGGTTTATTTTTACCAAAAGAGGAGTAAAACGGTTGTTCTTAGCACTTTTAGGCTTACAAGTGCCTCTACACTACGATTTTATATAGACTTTCTAATATTAAGCTGCACATTATACCTAGTTCTCCCACCTCTAATCATTCTGATAAAACACGCCTGTTATTGGCTACTTTATTTTATTAATAACTAATTAATGGTGCGTCTGATCGAAAAACGGCAAAGACTATTCGACTTAAAATTGTCATTTGTCATTTTTAATTTTTTACTATTTAAAAAACGTAATTATAAGAAAATACTGTATTTAAATGAATTTATTACAATTTAATAAAGGTCTGAGAGCGTTTTTTATTTATTTTTTTAAAGTCAAAAAATTACAGAAAAAAATTATTTTGAAAAGTTTTAGATTTAACATAAACTTTGTCTAATTTAAGTATGGAATCATTGAAATAATGACACATTTTTGGTTAATATTAATTACTAGTAATTACTACAATTTTTGTATAATACCACCAAATAAAATTTGATACTGACTGACCAAGTATTTTCGAATGTTTGTTTAGGTGATTTTAAAGATATTCTACTTACATAAGACAAGGCCGTAAACGTAAACTAACGTATGTACAGTAACAAACATTATAATAAACCTATTTTACACAAAAAAACAAAAACATCTTATTCAGGTCCATTTGGAGGCTGCTAAATGGACCAGATCGGTTTCTACGGAGTTTTCCCACAAAAATTGTTTGGATAACTGCGGTGCAGATCCTAGTTGAACACTTGATTTCTTGCTAAATCGACTACGTGAAACGAAGCAAGTATTTTACTGGGTTACTGTTGATGCGCATGCGCTGTTTATCAATCAATAGAGCGAAAACGGGAGTACGAAATTCGTACGAATACAAGTTAAAAATTTTAGTGTAAATCATAGAAAACCCTAAAGCTGGTTTAAATACCTACCAAGTATTATTAGTCCTGAAAATGTTTGGGGTTGTTAACTAAAAAGCATCATTGAGGGGAAAATATTTTTTATTTATTAGAACGTTTTACATTGACATTTCCTAGATTTTACAGAGTTTCTATTAAATTTGCGCACATCAAAAAGAACTTTAAACAGGCTATAATATTTTCCCCGGTTTTATATTTCAAAAGACAACAAATAAAAAATTTTGTTGATCCAACTAAATTGAGATGACATGATAATTTTTAACTTAAACAAAACTAATTTTAAAAAATACAATTATTTATTGATATTCTCTTTGCTAAAATTTAACAATATTATACTTCTGTAAGTATTTTTTTGTGTTTTTCTTTTTTGGTATATGGGATTTATTTACATATGAACGTATGTAATTTGGAGCGCCATCAAAACTCTCTTATAAAAAAATAAAAATCAACTTAACGTAAGACTGCTTAAAATTCATCTTGAATGTCATTTTAACTTGAATAATACAAATTAGACCTGAACTCGATTAATCGCGTATGTACAGTGTAAAATATTACCGCAAATAAAAATAACATAAAAATGAAAATTAAGAAGTTTTAATTACAGATAAAACAATTTACAAAAAATTAATAAATATTTTAAATAGAAAACTAACATAGTTTTTTATGTACAGGTAATTTTTGGACACACACTCACACATACATCGATTTAAAAAATTGCACCTTTGCGATAATATTTTACGTTTTTTTTGATAATTAATTTTTTTTGTTTTTTTGGAATTATTTGTTTAATACGTACGTGACACTCGACTGTGCTGTACACCTCGGACCTAAAAACAAACTAACAACACTTCCATTTACGAAGAAAACTAAAATAACTTTTTGAAAATTCATTATAAACCATTACTAAAAAATTACATCTCATCAAACTTTATTAATTAAAGCCAGTATAACACTACCCGACATAAAAATGTGTCTAAAGAGTTAAATAATATGTTTTATCTACTCCTACATTGACGAGTTGTGACCTTATGGCATTTTAGTCACAGGCTGAAGTTAATAACAGTGGCTTTTGGGCATTTTAGTCACGGGATGAAGTTAGCTTTATTATAAATTGCGAAAAAGTGAGGTTAAATTTGTTAAATGTCAAATTTTATGAAATAAAATTGTCTTTAAATTCTTATTTCTGTTCGTCGTAGATAAAGTATAGTATGCAACTCGTTTTATAAACTTCTCTAGACACTCGTTTTTATTAAACAATCGCTCGCAAGCTTCGCTCGTGCCTAATAAAACTCGTAACTAAAATGGCGTTTGTAAAACTTGTTACATAATATACTATTGCAATGCATTTTAAACTTTTAAAATAGGTTTTTACAATCGAAAATGTGTTTTAGTTGGACACGCTTTCTATTGTAAAACAGGTCTGCATTTTTGAGAATCTAAAATGTGTTCTAAGAATATTAAATTTATTTTTGACATTCCAAATTTTGTTTTTTATGTTCCAAAATAAGCTTTGAACTTCATAAATATGCCTTGAGATTTAAACGTATCCTGCAATGCATTTCAAACTTTTAAATTACGTTTTTACAATCGAAAATGTGTTTTAGTTGGACACGCTTTCTATCGTAAAACAGTTCTACCTTTTTAAGAATCTAAAATGTGTTCTAAGAATATTAATTTTATTTTTGACATTCTAAATTTTGTAAAACAGTTTTGCATTTTTGAGAATCTAAAATGTGTTCTTGTATATTAAATGTATTTTTGACAATCAAAATTTTTAATATAAAATAAGCTTTGAACTGAGATTTTAACGGGTTCTGCAATGCATTTCAAACTTTTAAAATAGGATTTTACAATCGAAAATGTGTTTTAGTTGGACACGCTTTCTATTGTAAAACAGTTCTACCTTTTTAAGAATCTAAAATGTGTTCTAAGAATATTAATTGTATTTTTGATAATCTATTTTTTTATGTTTATAAGCTTTGAACTTCATAAATATTTCTTTGGATTTTAACGAATTCTACAATGCATTTCAAATTTTTAAAATAGGTTTTTACGATCGAAAATTTGTCCTACATTCTCAATTCCTTGAATGTTTTTTCAGTTAAAAAGTGATTTGACACTTGACAATATATTTTTAACATTTCCTAATGTATTTTTGTCGTTCTAAATGTTGTTTTTAGTGTTACAAAATAAACTTTTAGAATAGAAAATGTGTTTTATTTGGACGCGTTATTATTATAAAACAGTTCTACATTTTTGAGAATCTATAATGTGTTCTAAGAATATTAAATGCTTTGTACTTTATAAATATGTCTTGAGATTTTAACGGATTCTGCAATGCGTTTCAAACTTTTAAAATAGATTTTTACGATCGAAAATTTGTTCTACATTCTCAATTCCTTGAATGTTTTTTCAGTTAAAAAGTGATTTGACACTTGACAATATATTTTTAACATTTCTTAATGTATTTTTATCGTTCTAAATGTTGTTTTTAGTGTTATAAAATAAACTTTTAGAATCGAAAATGTGTTTTATTTGGACGCGTTATTATTGTAAAACAGTTCTACATTTTTGAGAATCTAAAATGTGTTCAAGAATATTAAATGCTTTGAACTTTATAAATATGTCTTGAGATTTTAACGGATTCTGCAATGCGTTTCAAACTTTTAAAATAGGTTTTTACGATCGAAAATTTGTTCTACATTCTCAATTCCTTGAATGTTTTTTTCGTAAGTAATATCATAAGGGCATTTAATCTTTCCGAAAAGAATCGAAAAAACACGTTGCTAAGTGATATTTTAACAAAAAGCATGAGTGCTGGTGGCAACAAAAATCCGAGTCGAAGAGGAGGATTTTTGCACCTGCACGAATGCTTTTTGTTAAAAAATATTACTTAGCATTGTGTTTTTTCGATATTTTTCACAGGAAAAATTACATGCCCGAATGGTATTTGACAAGACTATTTCATGAGTAACAGTTAACAATTAAAATATAAATTGCAATTTATTTATTTATTTGTCAAGTTTTGCCGCGGGTAAACTCGAAAAAACTGCTGACAGGTGCTGTCACACAGTTTTTTCACCTAGAAACCATTTGTAATTCAAAATTGCGCGTTTGTGATTGGTGGAAATTAAGACGAGGGAAATAGTCAGTCAAAAAGTGATTTGACACTTGACAATATATTTTTAACATTTCTTAATGTATTTTTGTCGTTCTAAATGTTGTTTTTAGTGTTATAAAATAAGCTTGAACTTCATAAATGATAATTTTAAAATGTATTGGAAACTTTCCGAAAAGGTTTTAACAACATAAATTGTGTTTTAATTAAGGTGTGCATAATAAAATAATAGTAATTATTATTATTCAGTTTTTTCTAGAATTCAATTAAATAGGTTTATAATATCACATTGTCGGATAGCGTTTTCGAAAATAATGAAGCAAACTTACGTTTTATCTTGTTTTTTAACGTCGACTGCAGGACGATCCGGGCGCGGCGTATCAAGTGCAGACCGCCTCTGGCGGGGGCGGGGAGGTCTGGGCGGGCGCCACGTTGCTCGCGTCCAAGACAGGGGGCGCTGGCAGCGACGACGTGTGCGATTCCTCGTTCAAGCTCAAGTTGCTGTTGGAGTCGTCGTTTTGACAGGTCACGTTCGTAGACTGGTTGGAACTCTCGTCGAACTGAATCGGAAATGTTACTAATTAATGAAATGACCCCTGTCTCTAAAATATTATAAATATTCCCCAACACCAAAACAAAACTAAAAGTGCTTAAAGTACTTTTCGCAAACCATGTTGGCATCTTCAGAAGAGAAGTGTAAGTAAACCTATCTGCTAAATCTACCATATTTATACTAATTGCACTAGTTTACAGCCATTTTGCCCACCATCTCTCACTATTATTTTCTTGTGTAGTTTAGTAGACTGGGCCAAAAAAATCGAGTATTTTTTTTTGTAAAGTATATCGAAAATATTGTTTAGGGTGACAAAAAAAATTATGGTGAAAGTTTGAGTCCATAATATAAATATTAAGAGGTCTATCATCGCAATTTTAGATTTTTTTTTCCTGAGCGAGTTTTTGTCTCAAAACTCCCAAACCTTTACCTAAATTGACTTAAGAATATTTTTTAAAGAAAATTGAATGCTCTACAAAAAAGCTTGATTGGAATTTCCCGTCAGATGAAGCGTTTTCTTACAATCATGCCTTAAAAATTGGTATAGTTTTACAACTTGATCTAACTTTGGAATTTTGTAATTCATGTAAAAATCAGTACCCAGAAAAAAACCGATGAATATTCTTATGAGAAATCAAATGCTTTACAAAAAAAGTCTTAACTCTTAACATTTTTGGCTAAATTCACTCCATCAAAAGTTATTCAAGGTTAAATTTGACAAGAATTTCGTTTTGACTTCAACTTTAACCTTGAATAACTTTTGATTGAGTGAATTTAGCCAAAAATGTTAAGAGGCTTTTTTTGTAAAGCATTTGATTTCACATAAGAATATTTATCGGTTTTTTTATGGGTACTGATTTTTACATGAATTTCAAAATTCCAAAGATCAAAATGTAAAACTATACCAATGTTTAGGGCATGATTTTAAGGAAACGGTTCATCTGACGAAAAATTTCATTTAACCTTTTTTGTAGAGCATTTAATTTTCTTAAAAAATATTCCCAAGTCAATTTTGTTAAACTCAATGGTTTGGGAGTTCAGAGACAAAAACTTGATGAGGGACATAAAATTAAAATTGCGATGATAGACCTCTTAATATTAATATTTTGGACTCAAACCTTCACAATAATTTTTTTTGTCGCCCCAAACCATATTTTCGATATACTTTTCAAAAAAAAAATAGTTGAATTTTTGGCCCAGTCTAGTAGTTTAGTTTAGTAGGCACACCAAACGCGAAAATAACACTTTTCCAGATATGAATTTTCAATTGAAGGGGTTAGAATAAAAAGGGTATAAGTAACATTTTCATTTTTTGGAGATATTTGAAGTTAAAGTTATGTTACCATAAAAAAGTGAAGAATTTTGTTTAGTAATAATTTTCTACTGGATAATAGAGGTCCCTAGAAGTATGAAAATTACTTAAATCCTTTTCATTTCGATTCTTGTATAGTTTTGGAGATTTTATAAAGTTGAAAAAGTCATTTTTTTACAAAAATCGAGGTCAAAAATTTACATATCTTTCCAAGTCCAGTTTGATTTATTTTACGTATAGATTATACTTAAAGGAAAAAAATAAGCTGTTGATAAAAATCCATGGATAAATGGCAAAGTTATGAATTTTTCAGTGACCAACATTCAGTTTTTTCGAGAATTTTTACGTTTTTTTCATTTTATTGAGTTATATAAAGTTTAATATTGAACATTGATTTTTATTTTAAACATTAAATATTGAAATTAAATTATATATTGAACATTGAAGATATTGAAAGTTTTATTTTGTTGTAATAAGCATAGGTTTAAAAAAATTCTGTCTCCTTCTTTGTTTTTTGTTGATTTCGTATTCCGTTTCTCGTATAAGGGACCAAATGTAATCACCCATCATGGCTGCATCCCAGAAGCCGTGATACCGCCGCTCCATAGCCTTCATCTGCTGGTGAAAACGTTCTCCGTGCTCATCACTAACGTCGCCCAGATTTTCCAGGTTATTTACGCACTCGAACTCTCTACTTCTTTTACTTATTTTATACTTTTTATTAACTAAATAAAACCATGATAAAAATACTCTGTTAAAATATCAAAAAAAAAGAATTCACGTTTGCGGAGTCATGTCAAATTTAAATTTTATGTTTTCGGTGAAAAAAGTACGTAAAAAAATTAAAAAATTCCAATCATGCACTTTAATTAGGTTTTCATTAAAAAATAAACAAATTACGAAATAAAAGAAAAAAAAAAGAAAAATCGTCAAAAAGCTGAATTTTGGTCTTCCACTAAAAAATTCATAACTTCGCCATTTTTTCATGTATTTTTATCAATATTAGCTTGTTTTTTTGTAGAAGTGTCAGCTTTACGAAAAAAAATCCAAACTGGAGTTATCTGTTTAATTTAAACCTTTCCCAGGATGATATGTAAATTTTCGAACTCAATTTTAAGTTATTAAATCGCTAGCGTCACAATATTTTTCCGATATGAAAAGTAATACTTTTAAAGTATGTAAAATAAAGTTTTAGAGGGCTCAAATACCTTCAATTTAAGGGCTTGTTTGACCAAATCGATCAATTAGATTTCAAGCTATACACAAAAACGTCAAAACACCTCCGAAAATTAAAAAAAGAACAATTGAAAATTCATATTTCAAAAACGCTTCCATAATTTTTTATTTTTTGATTTTCGTGTTTAGTGGGTCAAAATACATGAAAAAATTATAATGGGATATGGTGGGTAGAATTTTTTTAGATTTTGTAAACTAGCGTTATAAGCTAAGGTTGACTGAACGGTGAATGGACACAGTTTACTAAACCGCTTTAGTGAACAGGTAAAGTGAAACTAACAAACTAATATATGCAAACTACAGTATTGTGCGAATTAATGTGAACAGAAATAGACTTACGTTAAATATTGTTTATTGAAAAAAAAATACAAACACTACTAGTTTATAAATATTTAAGTATTATTTAATAAAAAATATGTACCCATTTTTGCCTTTATTAAATGTTCAACTCGTTTTGGCCTGGAATTAATCAATGTTTTGCAATTTTCCTTTATTTTTTCATCTCGAAACCATACCTTAATGACAGCCTCAATCAAGTTAGTTTTTGTTGTACAATTCATTTTCTTTCAATAGGATTAATGTCTGCTGAGTTTCCAGGCCAGTCTACCTTTTACCTTTTTGTCCTGGTGTAAATTAGTCACTGTAACCGGCAAAATGACTGACATTAGCAATAATTTAATGCAGAATGATAGGTTATGAGATTGTCAAGAAACACCTGTCAGAATTGTCACAGCAGTGTTCTAAGTTAAAATAATATAGAAATTCACAATGTTTACATTAATTCGCACAATACTGTAGAGTTGGGTACCGGTCCGTTATCGCTATTTAAAGATTTATTACTATTCTTATAGATGTATAATAGGGTGATTCATTTCCGCAAAGTTTTTGTTTTTTTTCGGTGCTCAGGCAAAATATTAATCTACCTATAGAAAAAAAAATTTTCACCAAGGTAGAGCTCTTAATATCAATTTTAAGTACTTGCAGTTTAAATTTAAAGTTTTCCCATTTAAAATGCATGTAAAAAAAATGTTTTTTTTTTCAAATTTCTAATGCTTACCCACCTTTGACATTATTGCAAATCGGTTTAATACACCTTATGGGGAATTTCACGCTCTTTAAAATTGCTTTTGAGTTTTTTTTTGTAACTCGCATTGGTTCACCAGTAGGAGTCGTCAAAGGACAGTTTTTGAAAAAAATCGTTTTTTTTTATTTTTTCGAGCAAATTGCCAAAAGTAGTGAGAAAAAAGGGCTGATTCATAAAAAAAAAGTTATCCAACCAATATTTAATGAATTTACTGCCATTTTTATAACTGAAAACGTAAGAAATTGATAAATACCAACCCATAATGTTATTTAGATTGATTTTTTCTATTTATTATCATTATATTTCCCTACACTAAGAACTTTTTTAAAATTATTATGATTTCTCACTCATAATGAATATGAAAACAACACATAAATTCATAAAAAAAACAACAAAACTTTAATCGGAATATACAGAAGGTTATGTAACATATTTCAAATTTCGCTTCAAAAAATTAAATAATCTTCATTTACCTATACTTTTTTGCTATTTTTTTATGAATTTATCTGTTGTTTTCATATTCATTATAAGTGAGAAATTAATAATTTTAAAAAACTTCTTAGTGTAGGGAAATATAATGATAATAAATAGAAAAAATCAATCTAAATAACATTATGAGTTGGTAATTATCAATTTCTTACGTTTTCAGTTATAAAAATGGCTGTAAATTCATTAAATATTGGTTGGATAACTTTTTTTTATGATTCAGCCCTTTTTTCTCCCTACTTTTTGCGGTTTTAAAATTAAAAAAAAAAACGATTTTTTTCAAAAACTGTCCTTTGACGACTCCTACTGGTGGACCAATGCGAGTTACAAAAAAAAAACTCAAAAGCAATTTTAATGAGCGTGAAATTCCCCATAAGGTGTATTAAACCGATTTGCAATATTGTCAAAGGTGGGTAAGCATTAGAAATTTGAAAAAAAAATATATTTTTTACATGCATTTTAAACGGTAAAACTTTAAATTTAAATAGTAAGTACTTAAAATTTATATTAAGAGCTCAAACTTGTTGAGAATTTTTTTTTCTATATGCAGATTAATATTTTGCTTGAGCACCGAAGAAAACAAAAACTTTTCTCCCTACTTTTTGCGGTTTGTTAGAAAAAATTTAAAAAAAAACGATTTTTTTCAAAAACTGTCCTTTGACGACTCCTACTGGTGAACCAATGCGAGTTACAAAAAAAAACTCAAAAGCAATTTTAAAGAGCGTGAAATTCCCCATAAGGTGTATTAAACCGATTTGCAATATTGTCAAAGGTGGGTAAGCATTAGAAATTTGAAAAAAAAAACATTTTTATTACATGCATTTTAAATGGGAAAACTTTAAATTTAAACTGCAAGTACTTAAAATTGATATTAAGAGCTCAAACTTGTTGAGAATTTTTTTTTCTATATGCAGATTAATATTTTGCTTGAGCACCGAAGAAAACAAAAACTTTTCTCCCTACTTTTTGCGGTTTGTTAGAAAAAATTTAAAAAAAAAAACCGATTTTTTTCAAAAACTGTCCTTTGACGACTCCTACTGGTGAACCAATGCGAGTTACAAAAAAAAACTCAAAAGCAATTTTAAAGAGCGTGAAATTCCCCATAAGGTGTATTAAACCGATTTGCAATATTGTCAAAGGTGGGTAAGCATTAGAAATTTGAAAAAAAAAAACATTTTTTTACATGCTTTTTAAATGGGAAAACTTTAAATTTAAACTGCAAGTACTTAAAATTGATATTAAGAGCTCAAACTTGTTGAGAATTTTTTTTTCTATATGGAGATTAATATTTTGCTTGAGCACCGAAGAAAACAAAAACTTTGCGGAAATGAATCACCCTAATGTATAACTATCTAGCAGACTTGGTTCCCTAACTTCCTTAAAAAGTTTAAGGCTGTCAAATAGTATTCTATGACCATTATCAAGAATATGTTGGGCAACACTCGATTTCTCCGTCCTACCAAATCTAGCCAACATATTTCTTGTCACTATCTTGACAGTTTATTTCATAGGTTGCCTAAAAAGCGTTGGCGGAAAGTACTATCGCTAACAAAAAAAACTCATACAGCTTAAAAATCTAGTGTTCCTGATTTTCTATCATTTCGTTGGAGTAATTATGGCTTTTAACATGATACGTCACATTTGAAAGGTCTAAAATTAAATACAAAGTTAGGTTAAAGTTTGAAAAAAAAAAATAATATTTCGTCATCCCTCTGTTTTTGTCAATTACTGCCCGCAAACGGCAAAGCATGGAAGTCGCCGTCTTGCTTTATCTCGTTCCAAATGGCTTCAATGGCTTGCCAGAGTTCGTCTGCATTGTTTGGTTAAAAATGTTAAAAAAAGTCATAATGGATGTGACAAAGCTCGATGTCAGCTTGACATTGACGGAAAAGTTTTATTCACACAGCGACAATATAGCTGTATGAGTTTTTTTTGTTAGCGATAGTACTTTAAGCACTTTGTGTTTTGTTTTGGTGTTGGTAAATATTTCTAATTCTAATATTTCTAATAGTTTTTGATAAATTAGATTTTTTTAAAACCATCCCATATATGGCCCTACGGCCATTCCAAGCCCATGGACAGGACACATCAGAAACATGTCTAAATATATTCTTGTTACTTCCTTAAGTTTACTTATTTTTTCTACGAGAAGTATTAGCCAAATTTGGCTAATACTTCTCATAAATACTCATAGAAAAAATAAGTAAACTTAAGGAAGTAATAAGAATATATTTAGACATGTTTTTGATGCGTCCTGTCCATGGGCTTGGAATGGCCGCCTACTGGGCGTTTTTTTGCCCGAATGATATTATAATATTTAGCTTACCGATGTTCTGCTAAGATCCTCCGATAATCTGGATTTTTTAACGGGCGTTTCAGGCTCAATCAAGCCCGATTCCGACGACTGCCTCTTTCGGCTCTCCAGCGTACCATTAACGTTTTTACCAATGCTGGCTTTCCTTTCCCTTTTCGTGAAACTGGGCGCCAAATATTGCGACAGTTGCTTCCTTTTAACATACCTGAGTAAAACAAAAAAACTTTTAATTAAAGAGAATACAAAATTAAGTGGACACCTGCCTTGCTTCCAGTTTCATGCTCTCCTTGTACATGCTGATGTTAACGGCGTGCTTATTGACGGTTTTCGTGAAAAATTGAATGTCCTGCGTGAGATTGACGTTTAAATTTTCAACTTTCGCAAACTCCAACCCTATAAACCACATTGCGCACTGCATGTTCGGTTCGCGTTGCGTCTCCAATTGTTGGAAACATTCGGGGTTGATGTGCGCCAAATTTATGTAGGGATTACGCTCAAGATTCCCTATAAAAAATTACAATATGTACTTTCAGACTCCCTAACAAATTCTATTCATAACTCCACCAAATATTATTTCATGGTTAATCAGATTTTCTCTTTTATATGACTATACCGTTTTATACGCTAAAAGTATGCAGGGTCGAGTTCATCCGAACGCCTTAAAAGAGAGTGGGGATATTTTTCGGAGGCGACGGCACACCGAGTTCTTTTATTTTTGCATTTGTACACCAAAGGTTACACAAAAATTGAAGACAAATGGTTGTATGTTGGGATGTAAATGTCACAAATCATTATTTGTTTTGCATTTAACAGTGTTATCTTATAAAAATGTTTAAACGTCAAACTAAAAATACAAAAATTGATAAATTAAAATGTTTACTTTGATTTAATGATAATTACATCGTCTTACAAAATTTAAAAATAATGCATCAGAGCTGGGATATTTTTTATCGTGTTCAGGGCACGCAAAAACTAGGTTCGAAAAATGAGGAAAAAAGGAGCTCTAGGTCATCCAAAGATTTTTTGCGTAATAGTCTGTCTATTGATGACATTAAAAAAATCGCTCAATAACGCCATCAATAACAGTTGTACATAATATGTACAACTATTATATCCTTGTCAAAAGTCACTAACATTTTATTATTGAGCTTTAAGATAAAATAAATAAGCGAATTAATTTATCTATTACATCAGTTTATAAACTATAGTAATTTTTAACCATGCATACTAAGTGGTGATGAAAGTTGTACCAAAAAGTGTCCATAGTTTTCCCACAAAATGTGCCCGATTTTTTCTTAAAATTTGCCCACAATGTGCCCGGTAGTGTGCCCGATTTATGCCCAAAGAGTTTCTAATTTGTATGTTACCAAATGGTCACCATTTGTTCCGAATTGTTGCCAAAGTACTGTATTGTGTCCTAAAATAAACCCAAATGGACACTAACTATTTTTAATTGGAAACGAATTGGAAACAAACTAGATGCAAAGAGGCAAAGTAAGGCGTGATGTCTTATTAATAATTATGTATATAATATAATATTATGAAATACATTATAACTTAAATCTACCTTCATTTTTATTGCGAACAAAATTTTATTGGTGGTTATAAGCAAAATACTTTTAAAACTTTTTGAGTTCTCGATTTTGATTGATTATTCCTTATTTTATTGAATAAGAAACTCAACGCTTAAATGCTTATATAGTTCGTTAGTGTGTGTATTTTATCAAAGGGATCATAGTGAATTATTGTGTTTTTAATTGTAAATAAAATTCAAGAACTAAATCGTTGCATTTTCATGATTTGCCAAAGGATCCAATTCGGTAAGTACATTTGTTGGTGCAGGATTAACTAATGATAACTTTACGTAATATAATTTATATTTAAGTTTAAACATTTTTAAGAAATTAGTAAAAAATAATTTTTGCACAAACATAACCCTAAAATGAATCATTTTTATATTCAAGTTCACTAAAAAACGCCGACAACTGCATTTTAAACAACAAAATATACCTACGAATTCATGGCAACATAATATTATATGTAATACATAATATAATGGTATTTTACCGTTGAGTGGAGACTTTCTTAATCAACGCTTTTAATAATGCTAAATGCTGTTTAAATTTAAACGACTTAAGTAATTGTTTGACGATTTTTACTGAATTGAAATGTGTACACTTTTCACGTTAATCAATACTAAAATGTGTATTTATTGTATCTAATAGGTAAAATTTATATTTACAGAGACTGTATGCAACTTATTTCTTCATTCAGATTAACACTGTTTATTGGAAAATCGGTAAAAACCCAACCCAGGATTTCCTCTCGAAATACACAACAAATCGTGCCACGGTTTTTTTTTCGATATTTTTTAACATTTTCTTACTTTATTCTCAAAAACACTCATTTGTAAGATAAGCGTTTGACAGCTGATTATTAAAAGTTGTACTTTTGTTACGATGATAACATCCGAGTGGTGGCGCTACTAGCGATACTTCTTTAGCGTATAGATAAGTACAATTTGTTAACATTTTTACAAAATGTCAGTTAGTGACTTTTGGTAGGAATATGATGATATCTAGGTACTAATATGAGACATGTATCTAAGTTCTTTAATAAAATCAATAGTAATGTAGCATTTCAAACTAACAACAACAAATCCTAAATAAACCTTAAACAGGATTTTTCATATGCTAACCATCTAAAACAAGAGAACCCCAAATTTAATGATAACTTAAGAATATTACATGTAGCTAATACAGGTACCAAACTAAATCTTCTGAAATCTTTGGAAGTTAATAAACTAAAGAAATAATCTGATATTGTTCTTAATGACCAAATTGAAACCAATAGCTCGCCTTTGCTAAATTTATTTTAGAATGTATACCTGTAGTACTATAAATAATATTTATTAATACGAGGTGTGTTCAAAAAATAACGGGAATTGTTAAATTTCGCGGGTTCGGAGGGTCCGGTTGTCATAAAATTTTCTTTATTATGTTGGTATATATGCCCCCAAAGTATGATAAAAACTACTAACTAACTAGACGTGTTTTAAGAGCTCGGCGATTTTTCGTTCGTTAAAAGAAATGGATCAAAGAATTTGTATCCAATTTTGCTTAAAAAATTAAATAAATTCTTTGAAATGTTAACAAAGGCCTATAGCGAGTCTGCTATAAGTAAAACAAGAGTTTACAAGTGGTATAAGAGTTTCCAAGATGGTCGTGAAGTCATTGAAGATGACGAACGCCCCAAACGCACAATCACATTAACAACCGATAAAAACATGGAAAAAGTTAAAGAAATGGTTATAAACCTAATGATGTTGGTATATCGATTGGCTCATCCCATGAAATTTTTTCGAATGTTTTGGGTATGAAACGCGTGGCAGAAAAATTTGTTCTAAAATTGTTAAACTTTGAACAACATTTTTGGCCAGCCTCCATATTCGCCAGACATGCCTCTGTCTGACTTTTTCCTTTCCCAAAAACAAAGAGAACCTTAAAGGGCCGTCGTTTTGCAAGCATAGATGACATTAAAAGCGCATCGCTGAAAGAACTAAAGGCTATCCCAAAGATCGAGTTTTAAAAGTGTTTCGAGTATTGGAAGAAGAGCTGGCACATGTGCATAATATCCAATGGGGACTATTTTGAAGGCGACAACATTAATGTAGACGAATAAATAAATATTTGTTTCAAAAAACGAAAATTCCCGATATTTTCTGAACACACCTCGTACATATTGTTAAATTGTGGACTTTCCTAATCCATAGTTTTTCCAAAATTTTGTAAGTTTTATTAATACCTTCAGGTATAATGTTTATAAAACACTTATTTTTCAAAACCTGCATTAGCTAATATAAATACCGCCACTACAAATATGTACTAATTCTGAAGAAGCTACTCTGTAGCGAAACAATTGTTAATGGGGTAGTTAAATTTTTTCTGACCTATACTTTTTATGGTTTTATCCAAGGCGTTTTGTTATATTAAACATTTCTGTGAAATCATAATTTCAATTGAGTTTACCGTTTTCGAGATATTTACAAAAAATATAAATTTTTATGACGTCACAAACCTCGCCATGTGACCAACATTCTAAGATTTCTATTGGTTGAAAATTACCCTGTTGTCAAGTTGTCTTGTTAATGATTTCATTTGGTTATGTCAGAAAATACCCGAAGAGGTTATGTACAAATACTGTCAGTTGAGTGAAAGATGGTCACCAAATTCATTAAGTACCTATCTTCCTTATTACGAGGTATCATATTACTGTTTGATATTTTAAGGTCCAAGAGAATATAAAGAACTAGGCATTATACTAATGAAATGCATTTACGACAAAATATGATTATAATTAAGGGTACTTACTTTATTTGTTTAAAAGCTCCAATGTTCAATGTAACCAACCATTTCACAAAATTCCTCTGCTTTGGAGTCCGTTATTAATAAATCACTTATCTAATATCAATTACAAATAACATAACAATAACATTGATTTTCAATAATCTAAATTTAAAAAAAAACATAACCCGAAAAAAAGAAACGTCAAAAAATCAATTCTTCTTCTTCTTCTCAACTAAAATTATAGATCAAGTGGTTTTAAAACTAAAATATTATAACGTGGCGCCATCTATCGTAAGAATCTTAAACTAAACACACAGGCAACCATAGAAAAAGCTGGCAACGTTGTCAATAGCCTAGTGACGTAATTAGGAGATTTTTTTTTGTAAATATCTCGAAACGGTAAACTCAATTGAAATTCCGATTTCACAGAAATGTTTAAAATTACAAAACGCCTTGAATAAAACCATAAAAAGTATAGGTCAGCAAAAATTTAACTACCCCATTCTGAAGAAGCTACTGTGTAGCGAAACAATTGTTAATTATTAAAAAACATAAATAAAATAGTGAAACTTTAAAATAATATGGAGTTTCATCAAGTAAAGGTCAAAACAATCAGCAACATATTCTTACCTATTAACAGTCTGACTTTGCTCTCGACCAGTCCGCACCACTCCAGATGGTCTTCGGGCGATTCAGCGCTCACCAACAAGACGATAAAATGGCGGTACTTGATGAAAAATTGCGGCGGCTCGAACAGCTTGTCCCACGTCTGCTTGCCTGCGATTATTTCGTCGGTGAGAGACAGCCCGTGTTTCAGTTCCTCCATCATAACGGTCCGCGTGGACATCGACACGTTGAACGTGGAATTTTGCTGCGGGTACGCCGGGGTTATGATCGGCATCAGGTGGTATCTGTCTTGAGCGTTTACCTAAAGGTATTGGCAAAAATTAATTGTCAAGCAAGAAAATGGGTATTAACGTTAAGAGGTTGGAAAAGGAATTATGCATATCATATACCATTAGTAGGGATGGGATTTTAATTATTTTACCTTCTTTTAACCGATGTAACTATTTGAAAACCAATATTGCCAAAATGTGTTTTAAAAGATTTTCTTTTATATGAACCTAACTTGTTTTTACCTTTTTTTACCTTTTTTGGATGTTTTAGCTTTTAACTACCTTTTTTATACTTTTGTTACCTATTTTTTAATTTGTCATTTTATTTTCACATATTTGTTACCTATTTGTTACCTATTTTTACGTATTTTTACTTATTTTATTTTTTTGTGTTCTTTTTAAATTTTGCGCCAATATTATATCCAGGGAGTGCAACTCAACGGTATAGAATTTTTTCTTATGGTCACAGACTGTAACAGTAACTTTCTTTACAGTAACCTTCTTGTAGTGAGCTTATGTTCTGTCATAGAACTTCTGTGTAGTAAGTGTCACTCAGTGAAACACAGTTTATTGCATAGAAATAGTTTATTGTGGGTATGTTCTGTGTTTGGGTATATATGCGGCTAAACAAAATTATAAACGAAACTTGAACTTTTAATGTTTTTTTTACCTAAAATGCTGTTTTTTTTAACCTAAAATGCTTTTTTTTAGTACCTTTTTAGTTACCTATTTTTCAGTTTTTAGTACCTAAATATCCCATCTTTAACCATTAGACTAAAAAATCAACTATTTTTTTTTAAAGTATATCGAAAATATGGTTTGGGGTGATAACAAAAATTTTTTGTGAAAGTTTGAGTTCATAATATTAATACTAAGTATAGTCTATCATCGCAATTTTAATTTTTTTTTTCTCAGCAAGTTTTTGTCTCAGAACTCCCAAACCATTGAGTTTAACAAAATTGACTCAGAAATATTGTTTTTAAGAAAATTAAATGCTGTACAAAAAGGGTTAAAATGAAATTTTCCGTCAGATGAACCGTTTCTTTAAAATCATGCCTTAAAAATTGGTATAGTTTTACATTTTGATCTTTTAACTTTGGTATTTTGTAATTCATGTAAAAATCAGTACCCAGAAAAAATCCGAATGAATATTCTTATGGGAAATCAAATGCTTTACAAAAAAAGCTTCTTAACATTTTTGGCTAAATTCACTCAATCAAAAGTTATTCAAGGTTAAGGTTGAAGTTAAAACGAAATTCTTGTTTTTTCCTCTGTAGATTTATTTTTTTATGGGTGATAATTTAATTTTTTTCTTTATAAATGTGTATTATTTAACTAATTAACAATTTCCAATAAAAACATGATTTTTATTATTTAAACGATTAAATCATGCCTTAAAAATTGGTATAGTTTTACATTTGATCTTTTAACTTTGGAATTTTGTTATTCATGTAAAAATCTGTACCCAGAAAAAAAAACAATGAATATTCTTATGGGAAATCAAATACTTTACAAAAAAAGTCTTTTAACATTTTTGGCTAAATTCACTAAATCAAAAGTTATTCAAGGTTAAAGTTGAAGTTAAAACGAAATTCTTGTTTTTTCCTCTGTAGATTTATTTTTTTTATGGGTGATAATTTGATTTTTTTCTTTATAAATGTGTATTATTTAACTAATTAACAATTTCCAATAAAAAACAACATGATTTTTATTATTTAAACGATTAAATAGGTAACAGTGAAAATAATATTTTCTAAAGAAAATAGCTTCTTAAAGCGAAAAAGATCGAATATGATATTTTTTATTTTTCAGTAATTTTATCAATAACATAAAGATTACACAGGCCGACAAAAATAAAATTTCTGTTTGGTGCATGGCAACCAACAACTTTTTAAGGGTAATTTAGGTACGCTGAATCCAAAAATGAACGTCATTTTGCTCCATCAGCTATTGTTTTTGCGATGTAGAATAAAAACCATTTTTTTCGATATGCGCACATTCAAACTCTTATATATATTTTTTTAAACTTCTAATTTAAGCAAGGATAGTTGGGAATGTTGCTATGGGTCTTTATTAAACTAAAAAAAATACCATATACATTGATAATGGTATTCGCTTTAAAACTCTTGCTTTCATCGAAAGAAAATCGATTTTTTAGCCAAAATTCGGATATTTTTAAAATTCAAAGTGATACAGCATGATCAATTTTTGCCCGATTTAAATAAAATTTACCCCATTTGTAGCTCTATTTATCTACTTTATAGTGTTACAATTTCAATGCAATCAAAAATTGAATGAGAGTAGTGCTGCCGTGCTAAGCTAAACTCCAGTATCTGCAATATTAAATAAAAGATCATTTTCATTGTTAAAAACAATAAAAAGTATTTTTTGTCCTTTATTATTTAATATTGCAGATACGGGGGTTTACTTTAGCACGGCAGAGTGTATGATAGTAGAGTATTGAGAGCAGCAGCAGACTCTACTCATACTCTCCTACACTAAAACTAATAGAAAAAAAACAATAATATTTTTGACATCTTATTAGACATACCTACTTAAAATCAGGTCTAAAATCTTAGGCACAAAAATTGTCCACTTAAATAGGCTCTGTGAATATTAATAGCTATTCACGGAGTTTATTTAAGTGGTACACGCAGTACCCAATTTTGGTTGATTTTATTGTCATGTTGCCAATTTTTATTTGATTGCATTGAAATTTGATCACAATAAAGTAGATAAATAGAGTTACAAATAGGGTAAATTTTATTTAAATCGGGCAAAAATTGATCATGCTGTATCACTTTGAATTTTAAAAATTTCCGAATTTTGGCTAAAAAATCGATTTTCTTTCGATGAAAGCAAGATTTTTAAAGAGAATACAATTATCAATGTATATGGTATTTTTTTTAGTTTAATAAAGACACATAGCAACATTACCACCTATCCTTGCTTAAATTAGAAGTTAAAAAATATATATTTAAGCATTTGAATGTGCGCATATAAAAAAAATGTTTTTTTGTCTACATCGCAAAAACAAAAGCTGATTGAGCAAAATGATGGTCATTTTTGGATTCGGCGTACTCAAATTACCCTAAAAAAGTTGTTGTCTACCCTGCACCAAAATGGCCGTCATCAGTGTTATCATCGATAAAAGAATTCAAGTTTTTAACTGACCCAAAAACAAAATCTAGAGCAAAAAAAAAGAATTTCGCTTTGACTTCAAATTTAACCTTGAATAACTTTTGATGTAGTGAATTTAGCCAAAAATGTTAGGAGACTTTTTTTGTAGGGCATTTGATTTCCCATAAGAATATCGGTTTTTATTCCGGGTACTTATTTTTACATGAATTACAAAATTTCAAGTTTTTTGTAGAACATTCAATTTCCTTCAAAAAATATTCTTAAGTCAATTTTGTTAAATTCAATGGTTTGGGAGTTCTGAGACAAAAACTCGCTCAGGAAAAAAAATCTAAAAATGTGATGATAGACCTCTTAATATTAATATTATGGACTCAAACTTTCACCAGATTTTTTTTTGGTCACCCCAAACAATATTTTCGAAATACTTTACAAAAAAAAGTCGATTTTTTTGGCCCAGTCTAATATGCCATATCATCCCAATTATCACATAAGGGCGTATCTCATATGTAACAATTTTACAGAGCATTTTAAAGATTTAAGTTTTTAGATAATTTTAATTGTTTTTTGTAAAAAAATGTGCTTCTAGGTAGTACATTTAATGTTATTTATACCTAGTAGCACATTTTTTTTAAATTATTTAAACTAAATAAGTAACTAACTCAATATTTAAAATGCTGTAAAATTGTTAAATATGAGATATGAGATAAGCCCTTATGTGATAATTGGGACGATATCAAAGATTAAATATACTCTAAAGAGTATATTTAATCTTTGACGATATGTCATATTACATAACATATCACAAAATATTTGTTTTTAAAATTTCTCAGAAAATTTTACTCTCGCTAAAAGTTTTTGCTTGATTTCAAATAGTCAGAATATGCGACACATATTTTTTATTGTCTATGTTTAATTTGCAATTTTGATTTAACTGACAATTTTGGACTAAAATTTTTTGGTCAGTTTTCGTTCATTCACTCAATCATGACATATTCTCTTATAATATGGGGTCATGCAACCAGTTCAGGTATAATCTTTGCATTACAAAGGAAGGTGGTTAGAATTGTAGCTGGACTTGGATATAGGGATGATTGTAGGGCTGCCTTCAGGGATCTGGGAATACTCACATTCCCATCAGCATTTATTCTGCAAAATATCTTATATCTCAAAAACATTTATCAAATTATAAAACACACACAACTGTTCACCAGCATCACACAAGAAACAAAGATGATTTAATTGTGAGGTTTTCAAGACTGTTAAAAACTCAACATGGGCCAGAGTACCATGGAATAAAATTTTTCAATAAACTTTCAAACCAAAGAAAAAATTTAAGCTTTGATGAATTAAGATTGTTTCTTATAGAACGTTTGATTCGCAAAGCATATTACAGTATGGATGAGTTTTTGAGTGAGATTTGGGATTAGCCACAGACCTACAAACAAGATGGACCGGTTTATTTACATTGAAAAGAGTGGCCAGGAACAAAAATAAATATTTTCCCTCAGTTGTCACATTTGACTTTGAAGTTTCTATAATTTACGTAAAAGATACTTGGAATCCACAACATTTAATATTTTTTATTTGATTTTATAGTGAAAAATACCAATAGTGAGTGATATAAAAATGGTGAAGCAGTGCTACGTTTGTAAAAGACTTGGATCCAAGAATTTAAAACTTTCTTTTCATAGGTTAGTTTATTTACAAAACAAACCCTGCCAGGAGCGTAGAAACCGAATAAATAAATGAATTCACTTAAATTTTAGATTTAAAGAGCCAGATTCTACATCATCTGGAGCACTAACTGACAAGGTTAGTATTTTGTTATACCTATATATTTATATATATTAAATATAATTTTTACATAGGATTGCAAAACACAATAAAAAATGTACAATTTAATATTTTTATTTATCCCTAAAAACAGAACGCCCCTGGTGTGGGAACTTGTTTATAAATACCCCTTACCCCTTTACCCCTAATCTAAATAGTTCTTGGCAACAAAACATTGTGTATTTTGAATAGGAATGGCCAGTCCATTTTGTTTGTAGGTCTGTGGGATTAGCTCATTGGCAGCTTTTATATTATAGGTTCATTTTATTTCATATGTCTATTCTATTTATAATTTATTTATACTTGTATCTACTAATGTTTATTTTCTCTGTATTGACGTTGGTTTAGCAATAATAAAGATTATTATTATTATTATTATTTACCATGATTTTGTGGCTTTTACTAGGACGATATTATACAGCGTGTTTCTACTCAAAATGGACAACATAATAGAGGTTGTAGATCTCATTGAAACTAACACTTTTTCCAAATAAATATTTTTTATTTGATGTTTCGTTTTTAAATTATCGACCTTCTTTTGTTTTTATTATAAAATATTTATACAAACCTCTTTATCTTTGTTGGTATTTTAGTTAAAAATGTTTAACATAAAAACTGATAATTTCAAAAATTAAATTTTTAACATTCGGCCGGAGATAAAGAGGTTTGTGTAAAAACAAAAAAAGGTCGATAATTTAAAAACAAAAGCTCATATAAAAATATTTATTTAAAAAATGTGTTAGTATTGACGATATACGTTGTTTATTTCATGTAGAAACTAGTGATGTAATGGATGTCGATTTTCACATATTCGGGAATGTCAACTTTTTAATCTTGCCGCAATTTTCTGTGCCCATGATAGGCAACCCGATTGGTTGTATTATAATAGGCATATTCTATCATGATACAACAAAGTAAGATTAATAATGTTAATATGCTATTATGATACAACAAATTGTGGTTGCCTATCATGGGCGCAGTAAATGGCGGCAAGTTTTTTGAACACACATGTTATGTATTTACTTTATTTTGTCAATTTGAGTGTTTTGTTTTGAAAAATGAGTAATAAAATTTATAAATAATATATGTATATAATTATAAAGCAGATTTTTATTCTTGTAGTAAAGTAATGATTTTTTTCTAACATTTGCATCATTTTTTGCGAATGCGAATCTCAAAATTGTTACATCCCTAGTAGAAACACCCTGTATATTATATAATTTTCAAACATGTGTTTTTTGTATATATTAAAATTAGGTTTATTTATCTTTACTTTAAACCAAATATAGCAAAACTAATTTGTACAGTGACAGCCACAAACATAAATATAAAGCTCAAGTTACAGTAGGTATTAAATAAAACATAAATGTCTCAAGTGGACAACTTGAAGTGGTTTGTTTACTTTAACTGCAGAAAGTTCTAAATCAAAATTAATTTATGACCTTTAAAATATTTTTACCACTTTTGTTGACACGATTTTTAAATTTTTATTGACTGTTTTAAAAATTTATTTTTACAGGATAGTCACCATTTTATAGTAATTTAAAAAAAACATTCCAGACTGGTCTGGCAAATTTAATAATCATAACATTTAAATCGAGGTTTTAAGTTAATTTAATTATGTCTTTTAACTGATTTAAATCTTTTTAAATATGTCCTAGATATAATTTGGAAAATTCCGCACTGTCCTGGCCAGACATCATAAGTCTATCTATTTACTTTTATATTTTACTTATTTATAGTTTCATAACCTAGGTCAATAGCCTATTGAGGAACCAATAAAGTGTTTATTAGAAGTAGTCACATAGCAAAAATATACCATATTAAATTGAATCAAATAATTTGTTAACTCTGGGAAAATTTCAGATAAAGAGATAAAGTAAAAAAATGCAGTATTTTTGAGAGCAGCTTTAAAATTTGGTTTAAAAATAAATCTATTAAATTTCAAAAGCATGAAAAACAAATTATAAGTTAAACACTAACTTATCCATGTTAATGATCTCAACAAAAACCTTTAAATTATATTATAAACATTTGATATGTTTTATAATTAATAAAATTAGTATTTTACCTCATATTTTACTAAGAAATCTTAAACCTTTTTTAGTAATATCACATTCCAAAAAATTAATACAAAGATAATAAAAAAGCATTTAAACAACAACAAATTAACTCTTATCTTATCATTTAAATACTTTACTATGAATATCTAATTACTGTAATAAGAGTCCTTTATTTTTAAAAACAACAACAAAAACTAATTTGTCTTACCCTTGGATCCCAAACTCCAAATCCCAAATTTACACTGGATGGTTGCTTAAGTAAAACAGGCTGTGGCCATTTCCATTTGGAAAAAATTAAGAAGAACTTATGAACTAATGTGGCCGCTGCTGCATTTGGATACAACTGACAAGTTCTTGCTACAAGCATAGCCCAAGAAACACCACCCAAATAACCCAAAACATTACTGTAAATGCCATGCCCTACAAAAAAATAACAATATAAATCTTTAAAAAACCTTTTTAATAAACTAAAACTTACGTTTGGCCCATAATTTGATGGTTCTTAAAGCTAATCTAAAGCTATCAATGTTCGGAACTAATCTAAGTATTTCATCTGTAACCCTGCAACCGTTCAGGCTTCTCACGCACTTTTCATCCAAATTTTTCAACAATATATCATCTTTGAGATCCATAGAATCGGGTATCTCTTTCAGAGACAACCTGGCAAATAACATATCAATTTCTATTCCATCAAAATTCATTTTTATTACAGGGACAAACGCCTCTTCTACAGCCTAAAAAATTAAATATAATAAACCTTTATCATTTTATATACAGGGTGTCTCGATAATCCACACATTTTTAGGATCCCCTTTATGATATTTACTAGAAATTCAGCAAAAAGTAAAATTTTCTGGTATGGGAAGATTATTTTTGTAAATCAGGACAAATGTACAAAAAAAATGCCAAGGATAATTTACTGAGAATGTGTGTATGTAATAGATAATATAACAAATGTTTTAAAAGTTTCAACCTCATAATTGTTGTTTAGGGAATTAAAATTAATATAATTAATATCATTTACTTTATTTTAATATTGTATATACACTGCAAGTCAAAATTAACGCATAATAATTACCCCTTTTTGATTATTTTGCTGAAAAGTGGTCACTTTTGACGACTTTGAAGCGCTGTATTTTTGTTACTGTTTGTTTGATTTGTGCAAAATTTTCAGGGTATACTAACAAAAATAGGATCTTTCACAGCATATTTTTTATTTACTTAAAAAAAATTCCCTTTAAAAGTTTTTTTGAGCGTTTTTTATTATTAAATAAAAGGGCTTTAAGGATATTTTCTTGAAAAACCCTTGAACACGTAAACTGAGATATAAGTTAAAGTATTTTTATCTAAAATTTTATAAAGATTAGTAAAGGCGTTTTATAGTTGGATTTTTTTAACCTGTTATGCGTTAATTTTGACGCGCAGTGTACAATGTATACATATACACAGTGTGTCCACAGATGAGGTTAAAAAGAGAAAAAAAAATACATTTCTCACTAAATGACAAATAAACAAAAACTGATAAAAATGATTTTTATTAAAAAAAAATCTGTCCAAAATTTTCAGAAAAATCAAAATTGGATATTAACCATAGATAATAAAAATGATGTGTCACATATTCTAGGGGTTTGAAATCAAGCCCCTTTCATCAAGAATTAAATTTTCAAAGAAATGTAAAATATTTTTTACCTCTTTACAAGGACATACATTAAATTAAACAAAATTGATTATTATAATTAATTAATAATTTATAATATTAAAACATATAATTCCAAAAATCTCTAATAATTGCATAAAAAATTTATACAAATAGAAATAACAATAAGGAACATTATTGCATAATTTCCATATTTCCCATGCTGCAGAGATATAATAAAGATACATGCATTAAATAATTATATAATAGTTATATATAGTTAACATTGTAAGTGAGATTTTCCAGTTCCAATTTTTGCATAAGCAGGATCTGTTTGATAATAATTTTTATATTTTAACTCAAAAAATTATTTTTAAAATAGGGAATGTTCATATAATTGTATATACCTATTTTGAGATTTAAATGGCACATTGGATTTTTTTTAAATGTCACTACCAATGTTATTATGTATTAATATGTATATAATATTTACCCTTAAATCTGAAACTTCAGGTTGCTGCTTTAACAACTCATAAAAGGAACCAAAAAAATCAGTTCTGTAAATATGCCGAGGTGCCACACAGAGAGCATCAATATCAGCACCTTTATTATGCACCTAAAATAATAAACAAACCAAATAAAACCTATTACAACAAAGAATTATCTTCTTACTCCCAAACGATAACTTCCAAAAGTGTAGATTTTTCCTCCCACATTTTCAGCAACATTCTCAGGCATATTTCTAGAAATAGACAAGTCTTTAATCCATTGCTTTACAAGACAGTACAATTTCCCTAATATAATCATTCGTTGGTTTAGTTCCTGTTCGGATTCAAATACATCAAAGGGTTTCAAAGCTTCCTCTAGCTCCCCAGTCTTGGCAATATCCGATGGTTTTGGATGGGCTGTGGAAATTGCCGAGGTCATGCCCAGGGTTGACAATTTTTGGGCATGATTCTCCTTATTGTTTTGAATATTATTGACCTGTGTTTGTGACGACCACATTGTTACCTTTCCTAAAATACATTTTATATTCTGTTTAATTAATTAACCTTCGTTTGAAACAGAATTATAATGTTTTGCTTCTCTGAAGATATACCACCTGTTATGGTAATTATAAATGTTATTAAAGAAAATCTAATAATTGCACAAACAAAATATTATTTGCATTATTATACAGTCAAATACTTTTACATAGGTAAGTACATAATTTCTTATTACTCCCTAACAGTTCAACATTTTGGATGACAAATTGACTTAGCAGATTTGACTGTAATATAAAACAATAGCATTTTATACTATAAAAATAACTTATTTATTTTAAATAAGGAAACTAAATAAGTAAATGAAAAATGGAAATTGGACATCAAATAAAGATTTGGTGATAATACACAAAATTACTACTAAAACTAAATATAGGATACTTCTTCAAAAATACGTTTTAAATTCTGATTAATATGAACCTTGGAAATGATCACCTTCAACAAGGAAATAGTATTTATGCAGCTTTGTAAATGTTGTTATTTTTCTTTAGGTAATGCTCACTTTAATTTGCTTAGAAAATAAATCCATCCATACAGGGTAAAACTGAAGAAAATCTCGTATTTTAACAAACACAACATTCTTAGCCTTACTCAGAATAGAAAACAATAGAAATTTGTGTCATATCATTGGAGGTAATTTGGAATAGGGCAAGGTATACTTACAGTTCCTTAAATCTAGAGTTACACTACAAATAAAGTTTAAACTTAAGATTATGAGTTATTCAAAAACATTGTTACAAAATAAAGATAACGTGTTCCATTGACACTCGCGACTTAAGACAAAATGACTGACAGCAGTAACAAACATTGCAACAGGTTCACCAACAAAAAACCCCAAAATATTTTTTATCGGTTTCTCGGGAAATTTAGGAAATTAAAAATATATTACAGTATTTTTTTATTTTAAAAATACAAATTAATGTTTCTTATAAGTTTTAATTATTGATTGATACTATTTAAAAAGGAAACAATTGGTTTTTCCATGCAGCATTGTTGCGGTTGGTAGTATTGATTTGCCGGTGATGGCGTTTTCTGTTGACCGTAAACAAGTTTGGTTATAATTATAAAATTATTTACAAAAATTAAGTACTTCCGTGCTACGTATTCGTAGAATTGAATAATTTTAATGTAGTATTACATGTGTTGTTGCTGTTTTACTTAAAAATTTTAGTGTGGAAGATTTTACAAGCATTGCCAGGAAACACCTAAGCATTACCTACCAAAAATGTTGTCAATAGGCCCCAAAATGGACGGAGGTCCGAATAGCAAGTATTTCGAGTCTTCGGAAACGTTATCCACGTACGAGGGAATACGGCAGTGGCTGCAAAAGAACGCAAAAAAGTATGTGGCCAATGAACCTTTGTCCAACAAGGTTTTATGTAATTTAACTACCCAGCTTATGCAGTTTCAAGAGGATTATTTGGGTAAAAATGCCCAAAAACCACCAATGACGAGAATTCCAATTAAATTTTTCCTTGATTTTAAACCTGGTGGCGGGCTATGCCAAATTCTTGCATCTGCATATAAGTTTAAAAACGAACATGGCTGGAAGAAGTTTGAAATTCCTGCAGAGAAGAACTCAAAGAAGACCGATAAAGCCATGGATATGTTGAAGTCAATCGAGAAGGCACTGATTCAGAGTAAATTGTATACCTATCCTGTAATTTGTGTTAAACCTGATGTTGATAAGAGCACAGTACAAAAAATTAAGGAAATCATGCGAAAAAGAAATGGGCAAATAACTGATAGCGAAGATAATTCTACTCACATTATCTATGGAACTGTGGATCACAATGATGAGTATGGTAGGCCTGTTATGAAAAGAGATGATAATATAATTATGCATTGGTATTATTTTCCCAACTCTTACGATACTTGGGTTAATATTGATGAGGCCGGTTTGGATGGATTAACAGTTGATAATCCCATTCCTAGATTGGGTCCTTGGAGAGTGGCTTGCACATGGGTTATCGAATCGGACCAATACAACGAGTGGATGTCTGAGGAAGACTATGAAGTTGATGAATCGGGAAAAAAGAAGACACACCCTCAAATGTTATCTGTGGAGGATGTAATGAACCCCGCAGACGCGCCTTATAAAAAAAAATCGAAAAGAAAGAGGTCGCCATCTCCACCAGTCAAGGTTGTAGTTGGTAAACGCAAGAAGGCTGTTAAAGGGAAAATTAGATCTGATGATAATGAAAGCGATGATATCAGGGATACTGAAGAGAACACCATGGAAAGTATCGATAATCCACCATCAAATGCTTCATCTAGAAAAGATGAATCTCAGATGGCCAAAGATTCAATGGGCGATCCAGATGAGGATAAAGGTGAAGATTCACAAACTGGTAAGACTGGTAGTGAGAGCAACACTCAGGATGATGGTATGGAAGACAATGTAACTGAACAAACCCATCATATAGTAATACCATCATATTCTGCTTGGTTTGATTACAACTCGATCCACGACGTTGAAAAAAGGGCATTACCGGAATTCTTCAACGGTAGAAATAAATCCAAAACTCCGGAAGTTTATCTGGCTTACAGAAACTTCATGATAGATACGTATAGATTGAATCCTACCGAATATATTACAAGCACTGCCTGCCGTAGAAATCTGGCGGGTGATGTGTGCGCTATTATGCGAGTGCATGCTTTTCTCGAGCAATGGGGTTTGGTTAACTACCAGGTCGACACTGATTCGCGACCGACACCCATGGGACCGCCAACCACTTCCCATTTCCATATTTTATCCGATACGCCGTCAGGTTTACAACCTGTTAACCCTCCCAAAGTCCAGCAACCCAGCTCTGCCAAGTTGATAGTCGATATGGATAGACCCGGCGAGATCAAGAGAGAGGAGATGGAAATTTCCAAGTTCGGACTTACTTTGGACCAGTACGCCAACAAGAAGCCGCCCGTAATGAAGAACAAAACCGTCGCATCGCTTACTAGAGATTGGACGGAGCAGGAGACCCTACTCCTTCTGGAAGCCCTGGAGATGTACAAAGACGATTGGAACAAAGTGTGCGAGCACGTGGGCTCCCGCACGCAGGACGAGTGCATATTGCACTTCCTCAGACTGCCCATCGAAGATCCCTATTTGGAAGACCCCGAGGCGGGCGGTGTTATTGGACCTTTGGCCTATCAACCGATACCTTTCAGTAAATCCGGCAATCCAATCATGTCTACGGTAGCTTTCTTGGCTTCTATCGTCGATCCCAGGGTGGCCGCAGCTGCAGCTAAGTCGGCGATGAAGGAGTTTTCGAATATCAAGGATGAGGTTCCTTCTGCTGTGTTGGATTCCTTCTTGAAGACGGTAGAGACCGCGGCTGCTGACGGAAAATCCGATCCCATCGCCAGTTTGGGTTCAACAGGTAAAATATTAATACAGTCAAACGTGTCCAATGTTTTTCGGGTATTAGGATTTAGTAGTTCGGCTTTTTTATAAGGGATGACCCTTAATTTCAGGGTAAATGATAATTTGACATTCCTATTAATAATAATTACAGCCTGCGCGTTATAACTTACGTTGACGTAATTTCGTAATGGTACCGCCCATCAAGTTCAGTTTAACACGGTTTTTTTGGCTATTTGTAGAGATGCAACTTGAAAAAAATGGTCCGTTTTTTTGTTTTTTTTTTTCATTGTTTTTTCAAATGTTTTTTTCTTCATATTTTTGTTTTTTTTCAATATTAGTCCCATTTGCGTAATTTTTTATGTTTCCAGTCCAGTTCATGGCCACTAAATGACATTTAGTAAATGTAAATACAGTCTCTCACTTTGCACGCGCCACCACCACCGAATTGACCAATAAAGGCCGCTCTTGTTTTGATTTGGTCCTAAAAAAGTAACTACCTATAATATTTTTGATTCAGCGCTTGATTTTTTAAATTCATGTATACCTAATGAAAATTCTTTTTTTCAAAAAAATTGCGAATTTTTGTAGAGCATTTATTCATTCAAGTCAAAACATTCCGTAGACCAAAAAAGCCAAAAGCCAAAAAAATTTCGAATTTTTTTATTCGTAGGATTGAGCCTTGCACGTTTTTCATCTAAAAATCTCAAAACTAGAAACTTCAAGCTTCAAATTGCTTTTTTTACGGCTCCAACACGACCATTTCTAACAAAGATACAGCTATCCGAAAAATCGTAAAAAATTTGGAATTTTTTTTATCCTTTAATTTTTTCTATTAAGTAGTGTAGAAGTTTTACATTGCTATTGGTTTATGTGGAAACTACCAAATAATAAGAAATCAGATTTTTTATTCTCGGTCAAAATTTTCAATAATAAAAAATGTAATATATTTTACATTTCACTTTATTATTAATATACATTTTACTCAAAATTTCATTTTGAAAAATTAGTCCATTTTTTAAGATTGATGTTATTTATTGACAGAATATGCTTTATTGTAGCGGATTTGAAAAAAACAAAAAAACCGTTTTTTTTTATTTTTATTTCATGATTTTTTTTACATCTGAAAAAAACCGTTTTTTACATCTCTAGCTATTTGTTCAATTTATTGTATAGAAAGTGTACCCAAATTACATCGTATCGCAAAATTATTGATAAACTAGTTTAAAAAATATATTAAATTAAAAAAGTGAAGGTAAAAAGGTAGTATAATCGTAAAAGATACCTTATAATTATATAAATACGTACAATATATTTTACCTGTATACCTACATTTTTTTAAAGTAAAGGTAACAAAGCAGTATAATTTTAAAAGGTACCTAAATGATATAAATATACCTAAATACGTATATTACCAAAATTAAACATTACCAAAAATATGCTAAGAAGGAATTATGTCAAATGAAAAAGTAATGGCGGAATATCTATGAAAGATAAATATATTGACCGGGAAATAGTTTTGGATGATAAGGTAGAACCATTTTTAATTAATCTAGATTCAGATGATAGTAGCGATGACGATAGTTTTTTAGAAGAATATTAATTAACTATTAATTAAGTAATTGTACCAATGAATATTTTATTCATACCGGGATAAAAAGTATGTACAATATTAAATCTTAATACAAATTATTTTGTTTATTTCACTCTTCAAAATTTAATCTTAATCTTTGACGCCGCTGGTAGGCATAAAACAACTGCCAACGGCTACGCTCACATGCGTCGAGCTTCGCCAAGTTAAAACGCGCGGACTGTATCTTCATCTGCTCCTATTGCATAATATTGGGATTTTTTTGTAAATAATGATAAACATTATAAACTCCCTTATCTACTTATTGGATAATTAGTATATTGTTTACCGAGCGTGGAATCATAGCAATTACTCCCGATGATGAAAGTTTCCTAGCGAGCCGATAGGCGAGTGAAGGAATTCATCAAGGGAGTAATTGCGATTCCACGCGAGGCAAATACTATACGTTTTTGTCGAGTGGTGCTGATTATTAATTAATTTTCAGAAAATTAAAGAAAGTACCTAACGTTTGTTTAAAAACTGACGTTTACATTACTAAAGTCGTTACAATTAAGTTGGTACGCTTACCTAATTCAAGTTATTTAAGCTAAACCGAGCTAAACTCTATAAATGCTCACTAGTTTAGATCCATTTTTTTTTAATTTTCTCATAACGTGAAAATTGTACGTTCTGCATGTTGATTAATGCAAACAATACTTATTGAAAAAAGAACAAAAACATTAGAAATTACTAACTCCACTACTCTTTTTTGCACTTCAATTAAATTTACTCAAAAACATTATACCGTACATTCATTTTACATGACATGTACATTGTAGACAGGTCGCATTCGGTTTTTAAGGGTGGGAGGATAAGTTTTAAGAGTGGGAGACGCCGAGACTCTCGGCCTGAGAGACGGTTTTCGTAATTTAGCAGTAAATAAAAAAAATAAAATAATTCTCTTGAAAACAAAACTAAAAATCAAACTTCTTGGCATTCGGCATAGTGTTCTTGCTTTTTATGTTGCATTTAATCCTAAATATAGTTATCACCTTAAAAAATCCAGATACCTATATACTTGTAAAACAAAAATGTTTTTCACATCAGTGAAACTAATTTACTATAAAGTAATGGACCGAAAAATTATTAGGAGGTGTTTTATTTTTAAACAGTGTTTGATTAAAATTTTTGTTTGTAGGTATTGCTGGAACCGCACCTGAAAAAGAAGAGGAAGTAAAAAAAGAAGATGTAAAATCGGAAGAAAAAACCGATGAAGCTAAGAAAGAAGAATCGGAAAAAGACGACAAGGAAAAAGAAAAGGATAAGGAGAAAGAAAAAGAATCTGATAAAGAAAAGGAAGATGAAAAGGTGAAAGAGAGTGAAAAGATGAAGGAAAAATCGACGGAAGAAGAAAAACCGGAAACGCCCACCGAGACAACGGAAAAAGAAAAATCCAGCGAGGAAGAGGAGGCCAAACCGGCAGCGAAGCCTGTGAAAGACAGCGAAATGCAAGCCGCAGCTGCCGCCACCTTGGCAGCCGCGGCCGTCAAAGCCAAACACTTGGCGGCTGTGGAGGAGCGCAAGATAAAATCGCTGGTCGCGCTCCTGGTGGAAACGCAAATGAAAAAGCTCGAGATCAAGCTGCGACACTTCGAAGAGCTGGAAACCACGATGGAGCGCGAACGCGAAGGGCTGGAGTACCAGCGGCAGCAGCTGATCACGGAAAGGCAGTGCTTCCACCTGGAGCAGCTGAAGGCGGCCGAGTTCAGGGCGAAGCAGCACGCGCAGCAGCGCATGCTCAGCGAGCAGGGCCAGTGGCCCGCGCAGCCGCAGCATCCGATGTCGCACCCGGTGCCCCACGGGGAGCCCGTCCAGGGCGGCACCTCGACGCCGCCGTCCCCCCAGGCGGCCCAGGTGGCGTCGCCGGCCGCCCAGCCGCCTCACATGTAGGTCTCGTCCTTTTTTTTTAACATGATTTGCAGACTTGCAAAATGCACTTCAAATTACAATTTTGGACAGAATGCATTTTGCAAGTCTGCTCTTCTTTTTTTCGCCTTTATTTATTATTATGTGTCGCATAGTTTTGTCTACAAACTGATGGATATCATAGTATACTACAATGGGAAGATTGTGCCTTCTCTCTCTGAATATATATATTCGAATTCACGTTTATTTGTAAGTGCGTTTTACAAAATATTACCATTAATTGTCGCAGTAATTGTACCTATTGTTAAATTATATTGATTGATTGGGTGATTCTTTTTATGTCTAGGAGAATTTATTTACACTAATATCATTCATTATGGAATATTTTATACTTTTTCATTTAGATTTTTATTGATTATTCATTTTAACACAGTATTGACATATTTGTAATGATGGTTTAGTTTTATAATTAAAAATCATAAAAAACAAACTGCTTTATTTAAACTCCTCCTCCCAAAAACATTATGATTTAAATCGCGATTTTAATCAATCGATTTTTTTACTTAATTCAAAAATTACGTACTGTAACAAGGAAGATTCATTAAAAGAAAGTAACAATAAATAGTTTTACAATGTAGCCTGACTATTTATATACCAGTTGATTTTTTTAAATGTTTTATGCCCACAACATGGTAAAAATACTTTAATGTATTTAAATTAAAATTATTTGCTCCTTGCAAAGTACAAAATGTTATGAAGGATTCCCACGGGGAGCCCGTTCAAGGCGGCACCTCGACGCCGCCGTCCGCCCAGGTGGCGTCGCCGGCCGCCCAGCCGCCTCACATGTAGGTTTCGTCCTTTTTTAACATGATTTGCGGACTTGCGAAATGCACTTCAAATTACAATTTTGGACAGAATGCATTTTGCAAGTCTGCTCTTATTTTTTTTCGCCTTTATTTATTATTATGTGTCGCATAGTTTTGTCTACAAACTGATGGATATCATAGTATACTACAATGGGAAGATTGTGCCTTCTCTCTCTATTTGAATTCACGTTTATTTGTAAGTGCGTTTTACAAAACATTACCATTAATTGTCGCAGTAATTGTACCTATTGTTAAATTATATTGATTGATTGGGTGATTCTTTTTATGTCTAGGAGAATTTATTTACACTAATATCATTCATTATGGAATATTTTATACTTTTTCATTTAGATTTTTATTGATTATTCATTTTAACACAGTATTGACATATTTGTAATGATGGTTTAGTTTTATAATTAAATAACATAAAAAACAAACTGCTTTATTTAAAACCCTCCTCCCAAAAACATTGTGATTTAAAGCGCGATTTTAATTAATTGATTGTTTTATTTAATTCAAAAATTACGTACTCTAATAAGAATAAGACTGAAAAAAACGTTCAACTAATTCGTAGAAAACTTGTGTTTTTAAAGGAAAGGCTCAACATGTGTTTTTGAAGTGGTCGAAAGTAAAAAAAAAAGATTGATTTGTTTTGAAGATCCATTTAAAGAAAGTAATAATAGTTTTACAATTTTGCCCGACTATTTATTTATGCCTAAAACATGGTAAAAATACTTTAATGTATTTAAATTAAATTATTTGCTCCTTCCAAAGTACAAAATATAAGTATACAAAAATGGCTGAAGGATTCCCACGGGGAGCCCGTCCAGGGCGGCACCTCGACGCCGCCGTCCCCCCAGGCGGCCCAGGTGGCGTCGCCGGCCGCCCAGCCGCCTCACATGTAGGTTTCGTCCTTTTTTTAACACGATTTGCAGACTTGCAAAATGCACTTTAAATTACAATTTTGGACAGAATGCATTTTGCAAGTCTGCTCTTCTTTTTTTCGCCTTTATTTATTATTATGTGTCGCATAGTTTTGTCTATAAACTGATGGATATCATAGTAGGTATACTACAATGGGAAGATTGTGCCTTCTCTCTCTGAATATATAAATTCGAATTCACGTTTATTTGTAAGTGCGTTTTACAAAATATTACCATTAATTGTCGCAGTAATTGTACCTATTGTTAAATTATATTGATTGATTGATTGGGTGATTCTAGAATCTAGAAAAAGCTTTTTATGTCTAGGAGAATTTATTTACACTAATATCATTCATTATGGAATATTTTATACTTTTTCATTTAGATTTTTATTGATTATTCATTTTAACACAGTATTGACATATTTGTAATGATGGTTTAGTTTTATAATTAAATAACATAAAAAACAAACTGCTCCCAGCAAACCAAATCATGTCAGAGTGATATAACATTTACATAAAAATTGTTCCTTACTATGCAACAGCTATGTCACCTATATGTAATGGCAATGCTCCTATGTCCGCCTCAAGACGCCTTCCAGGGTATGTAACTGTGATGTAACAGTGTTTTATCATAGTTATGTAACTGTAATGTTACAGCGCCATATCAGTTATGTAACAGTGATATAACATTTACATAAAAATTGTTCCTTACTATGCAACAGCTATGTCACTTATGTATATGTAATGGCGATGCTCCTATGTCCGCCTCAAGACAGTGTTTTATCATAGATATGTAACTGTAATGTTACAGCGCCATATCATAGTTATGTAAACGTGATAAAACAATTATATTCTATTTACATAAATGTTGCATTTACTTATTTATATATAATTTATGCAATATTTACATATTATTTATGAAATATTTATAAATATAATTTCATGTAATATATTATCTTACTGGTATTAAAAATTGCTTAGCCCTAACTTGGTATTATGGCAAATTTTTTGAAAAAAAATCAACAAAATTTTAAAATTGCCATAATACCAAATTAGAATTAAGAAATTGTTAATGCCAGTTAGATAATATATTAAATAAATTATAAATAAATATTAGATAAATAATAAGTAAACATTACAAAAATAAATGATTCTGAAAGAGATTAAAAAAAACAAATTGGTTTAAATGTTTATTAAAAATTATTTTAATTAAAAAAAAAACAAATCATTTCTTCTTTCTAACTTCTTAAAACAAACGAAAAGTTTTTCCAAACAAAAAAAAATCCCAAATACATTAATACTTCAAAGCTAAAAAATATATGGTAAAAAAGATAAAGCAATCCCATGAATTTTATATTAATATACCTTCTTTTCATGGGTTTTTTGCTTCCCTATAGGGTATACCAAATCTTTGTTTGGCCTGCCGGAACCATTCGGAAACTATGCCTTCAAAATTTTTGTCTGTCGAAGTGCACACAGCAGCTTAAAAAAATTTATTTAATAAAAAATCCCATAAAATTTATATTTTTACCCTTCAACATTTCAACAGATTTTAAATTTTGAATTTTATTGTTGTTTAAACAAAGAATTCTTAGCCCCAGCCAAGAGCAATCTTTTGCCAAATTATTTGAGAAGATTTTCTTTAAAACTCTTACTGTGGCATCTTTCTCTGAGACGCCTCCAATTTTTGTTATATACTGAAACTGAAAAAAAATACAATTTAATATTATTTTTGTTTATAAAACAAAGAACATCTATTCTTTATGTAGTTATGTAAATGATATTTGGTACAAATATTAATTTGTTTGATTTTATTTATTCAAGTCAAATGCACCCTGCAACCTTAAGAGATATAAAAATAATGAAAAATATGGAATTTGCATAAAATTAATTGTCACAACAATTATAATAAAAAAGTGTATCCATCTTGGTTAGGTATTTAGCAAAATTATTCTTTTAAGTACCAGTTGAAAAAACAGTATAAAGTTAAAAAAATATATAGAAATTAAACTCTTATTTTGGCTACCAAATATTATTAAATTATAATTTGTCGCTTGTTTCTTAGCACCCTGTTTTAAAAACAAATTAACATTATTAAACAGGTTAAAAATCGCCCTTTATATACTTACAAATTCAGCCTCTACTTCTTTTTGCAATAATGTTTTCTCAAAACTTTTAACATATCATTAATAAAAGGTTGACTATAGGTAAGTATCTATTACACAAATCTTGCAAATCTTCCACAAAAGTATGGGAATTTTTCCTATGACCTCCTGAATATTCTCCCAAATTTTCTGTAAAAATATTTTTATTATATGTTTATTTATTGGCTGGTTAGGGAAAGATAATACTTCGGTTTTAGCCTCAGTATATTCCACATTGTCTTGGGTATTTTCTATACAATTTCTTACCTCCACGCCCATTATTTTGAGATCTGCATTAATTCTCCTCCGCTTTTGCCTCCGGGATAGGGAAATATATTTTTTTCTATTTTTGTCTTCCATTTTATTATAAAAAAATGGAATCAAACTTAACTTAACTTAAAACACAATAGAAAGCACTCGACACAACCGTTTAAACGAGTTCGTTAGTAAGATAAAAAGGCTATATAAATACTATAAAACATTAATATATAACATTTATATATCATTGTTACAATGTAGGTATAAAACATTGTTATATAGCCATGACATAATAGGGATGTAAATATAACAAGAAGGGATCGTTTTGATATAACTATTATTTTAACATTTTTTATTATAATTATGTAACAAATTAAAGAAAAACTATGTAAATACCATATAATAAGGTTATATGGATACTATAAAACATTGCCATATATTAATGATGTATCATTGTTCCATTGTAGATATATAACATTGTTATATGGCTGATACATAAGGGGGATGTAAATATAACAAGAGGGGAACATATTTATATAAATGTTATATTACTATGTTTTATCATAATTATGTAACAAAATAAATAACTAATATGTAAATGTTATGTAAACAATTTTATATGACAATGTTCTTTGTTAGTTATATCATGGTTATGTAAATGAAACAGCCTGGTTTGCTGGGCTTTATTTAAAACCCTCCTCCCAAAAACATTGTGATTTAAAGCGCGATTTTAATCAATTGATTTTTTTATTTAATTCAAAAATTACGTACTCTAATAAGAATAAGACTGAAAAAAACGTTCAACTAATTCGTAGAAAACTTGGGTTTTAAAAGGAAAGGCTCAAAATTGTGTATTAGAAGTGGTCGAAAGTAAAAAAAGATTTATTAATTTGTTTTGAATATCCATTTAAAGAAAGTAACACTATAGTTAAATAGCATAAATAAATAGTTTTACAATGACTATTTATTTACCAGTTGATTTTTTAAAAATGTTTTATGCCTACAAAATGGCAAAAATACTTTATGTATTTAAATTAAAATAAAAAAGTACAAAATGTGGGTATACAAAAATGGCTGAAGGATTGTTATCAAAACTGAATGCAATAGCTAATGCTCTTAATAAAATACAAGGCTTAAGCCTTTTAAAGATAATCGCGCGCGCGAAATAATAAGTTTTGTTAATATAAAGTATATCCCGTATGGTCTAGTGGTTCTACTACTCTTAATATGACAAGGTTTTTTTAAACTTTTACCCTATATAATTTATTGGTATAAATGTATAAAAAGGCTTGGATGCCGAAATACTTTTTAAAAAATGAATATTTTTAAATAACATTTCAGAAAAAAAAATATGAAAATAGTTAAAAACTAATAAAATAAATAATAAAAATTTAAAATCGAATAAAATCTGTAATATTTGAATTTTTTAAATAAAATTTTAAATTTGTCGATAAATTATAGTAGATAATAAATTGCACCACTTTAATTTGAATTATCTCAAATAGGGGGGCCTGGAGGCGGGTGAGGCGACAGGAAAAACTAACTTTTTTTTCGCAAACTTCAATTTAAATTCTGTTTGCGCCGAACTTGTATATTTAATGTCATTAGAAACTATTATAAATTTGGTGTGGGTCCCATGTCTAATAACTGAGATATTGGTATACATAAAATCCACCAGCCGCCACTGATTTGTAGTACTCGAGTACAATACATTTTATCGAAAAACCAAAAGAACACTTTTTTGTAGATCAGGTAATTTCCAACAAAAATATGTACCTTCTACTCAAAACTATTCTACAAGTTGTTTGTTTTCAATACTTTTTAAAACTTTGACCTAAGTAATATTTTGAATGGATAAAATATGAATTGGGCTTAGCTTTATATTTATTTATTAGCGAGATACAAAATGTGTTTCATTGGACTAATGTGAAAATTGCAATGAGGAGGATATTTTTCTTTTAATGATAAAAATTTTTAATATCTTAGTAAAAAAAGAATGGTAGATTTTTTTAATTATATTATTAGATGTTATTTCAAATAAAAAAGAAGGTTAAATTATACCACACTTATTTACTAAAAATCAACAAAACTTGCGAGCTTTCTTGTTTTAATAAACAATCCCATTTAAATAAAAAAGTAAGATGCAAAAAAATTTGATTTTTTTAAATAAAAAAACAACCCTGCCCGGAAATAAAATATTTTTAACAATAAAATATTTATTAAAGATTAAACTCGGCACTTACACTGTAAAAATACAATCAAGTACAAGATTTCTGCGGTAGTTGTAGTATAAGGCAAAATTTGGACAATTTTGTACTGTTTCCTTACAAACTAAAACAAATTACAAAGCTTATTTACACTCGGCATATCGCAACAATCGAACAGCGGTGTGTGGATATTTTATACAAACATTAATTTCGAAAAACCTATCTTAAAAATTAGATACTTTTGAGCACATCGTTAAACAAACGGAAATAGAAAAAAAAGTATTTTTTATCCGCCTCCTCCTCCAAGTTCGTCCTCGTACTGTTTACGGAAACAGTCTCCCACCGGGAAGAAGTCCCAGCACCTCTGTTGGTACATGTTCCACACGTACGTCTCTTGACCCGTGTACTCCGTGTCTGGTTTGTTGATTAAGTGCATGAGGAAGAACCTAAAATAATAAACTTTTATTGCACTCTGTTTAAAGAAAACAATACAGAACGATTAAAGATAATTAAATCCCGATTGCGAAAACGATTGAAACATTCAATCGTTTTTAATTATTTTGAATTGTGTATTAGTTTGAATCATTTAAAATTGTAGTGAATCGGAAATTTAAATTGAAAATTATATTTTAATTATTTTCATTCAAAACTAAGTTGTTTGTTTCTATCGGTCTGAATAGGAGAATATTGAACTAAGATTTCAATCGGTCTTAATTAATCGACTTTCAATTTCAATTGGATTTAATTAATTCCAATTGGAAAATCATTTTGACGCTATTGAACTCATATTTCAATCGGTTTTAATCGGCGTTTGTATTTCCTCAATTTTAATTATAAAAAATAAGAGGATACATTTCAGCAAAATCTGCGAAATATAAAGCAAATTTCTGCTTAACCTTATAAGGCTTGAAGAACTAGGAAAAGTGATAGCGACAACGTCGAGGGAAATAATGTTCGTTGCATTATACTATGGTAGGTATAATATAAATTACATATAATATAATATAAGGGCTCTCACGGCTAAATTACAAATTTTATTTAGGAATTTAGGACTTTTTTTGTAAAATTTAGGAGAAATAAAGTATGCAAATGAATTTCTGTAATTAAATAAAAACAACTCTTTACTGTAATTAAAAAATAAGAAAAAAACATAATTCTTTTTAACAAAAAATAAATAAATATCACTTCTTTTGTACAAATAAGTTAAATTGACTAGTTTTTTAGCCAAATCGCTCGACGAGTTTTTTTAAATAAAATTAAAAGTGAGGTAAAATTACTACTTTTAAAGTTTATATACACAGGTAGAAATTTCATCACACTTTTAATTTTATTTAAAAAAATGCGTCGATAGATTTGGCTAAAAAACTAGGCCAAAATCAAATGATGTTATATTTATATTTTCAGAAAAAAAGTTAACAGTTTAGTTAATAATGTGGATCTTAATACTAAAAAATCTCATAATATAAAAAATATGAAGTTTGCAAAATACAGCAAAATATTCTTTAAACATTTTTTACTATTCTATCATTTAAAAGAAAATTAAAAATCGTTTTGTTTGATATATAACACGGTATATTTTTGTCTATATTTTTGCAATACAAACGAAATATGGCCAAAAATGACAAAGGTCTAGGAAGTCTAGGAGCTATTGCTTGGATTTTGTTTTTTAGTTATATTTTTTTGTTTAAAAAAAAAAATGTTGGTTGTGATATTATATCATTTTAAAAAGAATTTAAATTACTTTTTAAAAAAGAACATTTTTAGCACAACTACTTTAATTAAATATTGGTGTATTATTTTTTTAAATAAATCGATTTGTTTTAAAGAAATTTTAGAAATACCATTCTCGTAAGCACGTGCTAATTACTAATAAAAAACATATAAATACATTGTTTTGGTTGTTTTTATTGTTTTTTATTATTATAGAAAGTAATAGGACAAAACAAAAATGCTCAAAAATTTGGTTACCCAACCTTACCCCCTGCACCCAGCAGCAGACTGAGTTAAAAAATTAAGACCTTTAAAATGATGTATTACTCCTATTCAAATTCTTAGGGGGTAGCTGCTGGGTGCAGGGGGTAAGGTTGGGTAACCAAATTTTGCCATGAAACATTGTCCCCTTTGTAATCGTGTCTCGCCGTTTTTTCAAAAACCTTTCAGTTTCAGAGAAATTTAGGAAAATAAACACCCAGTATCTAATAGAAGAGAATTTTTTGGAATTCTCTGTTTTTTGTTTCATTGTTTTAAGTTTCTATTGCGTTTTTTATTTGTTTAAAAGTAAGCATAAGTAAATTTATACCATGTTACTATTAGTTTAAATTTATTTCAATGTTTTTTTTATCAATGAATAATTTTTTGTAAATATAATTATTGTGCATTTTTAATTTACCTACAAAATCGTTCCTACTTAAAAATTTTCAATTTCAAATTTTCAAAATTTAGTATAGGGTCGTTTTAAGGGGGGGTGAATCCAGTGCTAATATGATTCTTAAAAAGTTACTCTCAAAAACTGACACAGAAGGCCTTGAATTTTGTAAAAATATGGTGTTTTTTACTCCAAAAATACATTTACCAAGATCCACATTTAAAATCAAATCCAGTTAAAATTTCACAGTAATATAATAATAATAATTTTATAGGGGTATGTCAAAAACAAAATGAGAGCTGTCAAGTTGGCACCTGTGCTTTTAACAGTTGTCATTTAAGCAACTTTCCCTTTCACTTTGATATTGACCAGAAATTGACGAAATCGAACGTCGATTAAAACCGATAAAAATTATTTTTCAATTCAGAATAATTAAAATTAAGGAAATAAAACGCCGATTAAAACCTATAAAAAATCTTAGTTCAATAGTTTTAATTTTATTTTCCAATTCATACCAATTGAAATTGACGAAATCGAACGTCGATTAAAACCAATTGAAATCTAAGTATTGTCCGATTTAGACCAATAAAAACAAAAAGTTAGTTCCAATTGAAAATAACTGTAAACAATTTAAACCAATACCAAAACAATTCAAAACGATTGAAATGTTGTGGTTTCTATCGGAGATTTTAAGCAGGGTAATTAAAATTATATTTACATGTAATTCGCAAGATTATGCTCCTGCTGACAATGGGTATCGAACCCATGCGGCACCTTATCGAAGTAGTCTTTCCCCATGCCGCATATGAAGCAATTCGACTCCATGTCTTCTTTCACGCTCTCAAGTTGGTCACGAAGCTCTCCGAAAGCATCGATGATCAAACCTAAAACAAAAATAATGATGTCAAAGTATGCAAATTTATAAAATCTAGTTTACCTTGAATAATAGCCAAAAGAATAACGATAACGAAGAAGAAGAAAGTGATGTCGAACATGATACGATAAACTTCGTAATCATCGCCATCTGGTGGTTCGATTTCGTCACCAATACCACCGCCTGCTCTTACACCTTTGTACAGATGGAACACAAAGCACTAAAAAACAAATTTCATTAACATTTTCCAAATCACAACGGCATAGGGTTTTAAAATTTCCGGAATAAATGAGCCGGCGGAAAAAAGTTTTCTTCCGAAAAAAAAACTAAAAAATTGGTAAATTTTCAGAAAAATTGATTTTATCATTTTTTAATTTTATTCAAAGGGCAATACCGTTAAGTGAAGAAATTCTTTAGTAATACAAAAAATTGCAAGTCAATTTTTCTAAAAATTTCCAAATTTTTACGGATAATATCCGTACACTTATATTTAGAAAAAAAGTGAATTTCCGACGCTGATTATAATCATATTATGATTATAATAATTATTCCATTTTATTTTAGTTCAGTAAGAATATTAGAGATGGGAATTGGAAAGTTTCCATTTAAGGACTGTTTCAATTTTGGAAAGTTTCCAGTCGAGAATTTATTTTCATTTTGAAAGTTTCTTTTAAAGTTACCGGAAACATTCCCGAAAAAGAAGAAGCATATATATATAGTATATATTAGACTGGGCCAAAAAAATCAACTATTTTTTTTTTAAAATATGGTTTGGGCGAAAAAAAATATTGTGAAAGTTTGAGTCCATACTAATAGGTCTATCATCGCAATTTTAAATTTTTTTTCTCAGCAAGTTTTTCTCTCAGAACTCCCAAACAAAATTGACTCAGAAATATTTTTTTAAGAAAATTAATTGCTCTACAAAAAAGGTTCAAATGAAATTTTCTTAAAATCATGCCTTAAAAATTGGTATAGTTTTACATTTTGATCTTTTAACTTTGGAATTTTGTAATTCATGTAAAAATCAGTACCCATAAATATTCTTATGGGAAATCAAATGCTTTACAAAAAGTCTCATTTTTGGCTAAATTCACTCAATCAAAAGTTATTCAAGGTTAAAGTTGAAGTCAAAACGTAATTTTTGTTTTTTTCTCTGTAAATTTATTGTTTTACGGATGATAATTTGATTTTTTTCTTTATAAATGTGTATTATATAACTAATTAACAATTTCCAATAAAAAAACAACATGATTGTTATTATTTAAACGATTACATAGGTAACAGTGAAAATAATATTTTCTAAAGAAAATAGCTTTTTAAAGCAAAAAATGCTAATGTGTTATTTTTTTAAATTTTCAGTAATTTTATCAATAACATAAAGATTATCATCGATAAAAGAATCTAAGTTTTTAACTGGCCCAAAAAAGCTTTTCGTTTTGAATTCAAATTTATCCTTGAATAACTTTTGATGGAGTGAATTTAGCCAAAAATGTGAAAAGACTTTTTTTGTAGAGCATTTGATTTCCCATAAGAATATCTATCGGTTTTAAAAAAAAAAATCCGGGTACTGATTTTTACATGAATTACAAAATTCCAAAGTTAAATGATCAAATTGTACAACTATACCAATTTTTAAGGCATGATTGTAAGAAAACAGTTCATCTGACGGGAAATTCCAATCAAACCTTTTTTGTAAGGCATTCAATTTTCTTTAAAAAATATCAGTCAATTTTGTTAAACTCAATGGTTTGGGAGTTCTGAGACAAAAACTCGCTCAGGAAAAAAATCTAAAATTGCGATGACTTCTGAGTATTAATATTATGGACTCAAACTTTCACCATAATTTTTTTTGTCACCCCAAACAATATTTTCGATATACTTTACAAAAAAAAATAGTCGATTTATTTGGCCCAGTCCAGTATAGTATATATAGTATTAGTATGATTAGTTTGTTGAAAATCTCATCATCACAATTTATAAATCGATGGCAAAAACACTTTGCATAAAAGCCTTATAAAAGGTAAACAAAATAAATACAATAAACCAATTTAAAATCATTCTAACGTTTTTGTTGTTTATTTATACAGTACCTGGAATGCCAAGAGAAAAATCTGATATTTGGAATTATTACAAAATATTTCAAAAAAATACAATGCTCAATGCAGTAAATCGAATGTTACTAATGCGATTGTTGTAGATTTAAATTATGGGAAAAACACCTTTATTTTTGTTTGGTTTGAAAAAAATTGCTAATTGTGTTTTTTGCTTTTTTTTACGGGTAATGGTAGTAAAAAATGTTGATTTTATTTTGCTTTTAGTTTTTTTTTCATATGTTATTGGTCAGGACAAAAATACTATTTTTTTCCGAAGATAAAGAAAAAATATGCATTACATTGGATATTTTAACTCTTTTTGCAACAAAAAACCCAATAGACGTATATTTCACGTTTATTTTTTTAAATCAATTTAATTTGATTCAATGTTTAGTTTTATTTTTTTGTAATAAAGAATATTTTTTTTAAATAAAATGTGTATATTTTCTAATAAAAAAATCTTTCCAAAAAAAGCCAATTTTTCCAAGGCATGGGAAAGAACGAAAAAAAACAGGTTTTTTCCCCAATTTTTCAGTTTTTTCCCCGATTCTTTAAAACCCTACAAAGGCAGTAAACCTACCGTTAACATGTCGTGACACTTTTTATCGACCTCCTCGTCCTCCTCTTGCACATAGAACTTCCTGAAGAAGTTGAAGGCGATGACAGTGTAAATGTACACTATAATAGTCAGCAACATGACGGTAAGGACAAGTTGCTTTCCGTTGTGTGTTACCGACTGCAAAATGGTGCGCAGGGTCTTGAAACCGACCGCCACATCCAGCAAATGAGCGGCGAAGAAAAAGTTATTGAAGTTTCCTAGGATCGAGAACGTGAAGTACCACAGAGAGTACAAGAAGGAGTTGTCGGTTATTGTCACGCCGGATTTCCACACTTGGTATCTCCAATCTATGTTGAATATACTAAAAACACAAAAAGTTATTATTGTTAGGTCTAAACTGATCGAGTATCTTACTAATATATAAGTCCATGGCTTTCCTCGGCTTCCTGTTGATGGAAAGAAGTTTTCTCCATACCAAGTAAAGTACTAATCGATTCAAAATCGTACGTTTCGCTGTACTTCTGCCTGACTTTCTTCTTGACGAATTTATCCCAGTAATTTACAGGGAATGATCTTAAAAGATGAAAACAAAATATTATACAATTCTTATTTTTGCTTAATTACTTACTTTGCAGATATAACTAATTTATCCCAATGTGATTTTAAGTCGTCATCCTCTGGCTGCTCGGCAATGTACAAGCCTTCGAATTCCAGTCTCCTAGCGATTTCTTTTTCACGTTTGAAGATGGCCAGTGGTACCTAAAATTACATAAGACGAGTTTTCTTTGAGTTTAATAATCAACGACTTTAATACATTATTTTGTGAATAAAAATACTTTATTATTAACCAAAGGGAATCAGTTCAGTACAATTCATTACGTATCCTTTACAGGTATCCTTTTATCAATTAGTAACTTTATTTGTTTGAAGAGCTAAATGGTCGGTTAAATTAGAGGAAAGTTGCGTAAATAAAAGTCATTTAAAATTAAAAAAAAGTTGCGGTTCTCAAAAAATTTGAAAAAAACTATAAATTTTGAGATACCATCTTTTGTTTTTCCCATGGTCGCCATATTGGAATTTTATATAGTTAGATAGAACTCAATAACTCAACATGTAAAACTAAACTTATTTTCAAAAGATGTAATGATTTTAGGTTTTAAGAGGTTATTTATTGGTTTTTCAAATATTTTGATAACTTTATTTATTTAATTACGTAACTTTTCTCTAACTTAATCGACCTTGTGGCTCTTCTTATTATAAACAATAAAAATAATATTTATTCTTTATTACTTAAATTGGATTGTACACAGAAGGATACTTGGTGCACCCTGTATAGACTGAGTCAAAAAAACTGTATCGAAAATATTGTTCCAAATGAATTAAAAGTTTAAAATCCTTAAGCTTCAAAAGATATCCAAGATCAAAATAAAATTTATAGTGGATTTTAAGTCTGATTCAGACAAAATGTTATGTAGATAATTTTATTATCCCTAAATTGTTTTCAATAATGTTTCCATTTTATTTAAATGTAAATTTGTACTAAAAAACTTAATTATAGTTTTTTTATTTTTGATAATTAATATTTTAAACATTTTTAAATAAAAAAGCAAATCTTCGAAAGATAAAGATTTAATTTATTTTAAATAATATAACTACTAATAATTAAAATTGATTAATTGTACTGAATTTGTGATCAAAATTAATTAACAAATATTCGGAGCAAAATAAATAATATTAAGCAATAATTTGTATAAACACAAGCTTTTTTAAAAATGATTTTAAAATTATAGAAAAATAAGTTTCAATTATCAACAAATTATAAATTTGTAAAAAAAAATTGTAAAAAAATTACATTTAAATGCAAGCATTTTGCGCAAATAACTAACAATTCTTTGGGAATTTGGAAACTACAATTCTTAGATATATATATATATATATATATATAGATACGGTTTTTTGAGTACCGGGGATAGACGCAGGATGAATTGTTCTAGTAGAAAATGCCGTAAACCAAAAATCGCAAAATTGTTGGTTACGGCGTTTTCATTAAGCACGGCAGAATTATCTACAAAAAAAGGTTCTACAGGATGCACCAAGTAGGTATCCTTCTATGTATGGGTGGTTCTCAAATAATTTGAAGAAAACTAAAAAATCTGTCAAAAACAACAATCGGAAAAACTTTCTTATTCCTGAAAATTTTGTAAAAAGTGAGTTTCACATATAAACATGCACATTTTAATTCAATTTAGATTTTTTTCGCCTGCTAGATTTTAACCATCTTTTATTTTTCTTATGGCCGCCATATGGGAATTTTACAGAGTTAGATATAAAAAAAATCAAGGAATACAAAAATGGATCAAACTATAGTTTAATCTATGTATACATATGTTATGGTGGCCATTATAAAAACAAAGAGATGGTAACTCAAAGTAGAGTGGCGAAGAAATTGGATGAAAATGTAGATTATTGAATATTGTTCGAAATGAACCAATATTATTTAGAGGTGCCCCATCGCGATTTTCTATTTCCAATGGGATTTTTTTTTAACTTCGGAATTCAGAAAACTGAACGCTCCACAAAAAAGATCTCTTATCTATTTATGATAAATCTACTCCTTCAAAAGATATTCAAGATCAAAATTAAATTTATAGTGAATATTAATTGTTTCCGGCGAAATTATCAGACATTCTTACCACAATATGTAGATAATTTTATTATCCCTAAATTGTTTTTAATTAAGTTTCCATTTTATTTAAAATTTAAATTTTAAATTTAAATTTGTACCAAGAAATCTTGATTAAAGTTTTATAGTTTTAATAATTAATGTTTTAAACTTAAAAAAGCAAATTTTCTAAAGAATAAAGATTTTTTTATTTTAAAAACATTCCTAATATTAAAAATTGTTAATCTTCAAAACAAGTCAATAAAGAACCTGTATTGTTTACCCTCAAGATATCATTCAGAAGATCTTTATACCAACTTTAGAATAATGTCCATTGATAATATTTATAAATATCAGGTGTGTAGCTTTGTTCATGGTTCTATACTTGAGAAGAAACACACGAATATTAATTTTAAAGCCAGAAATGAAATACATCTACACAACACAAGAAATAATAATAATTTAGCAGTTCCACACGTCTTTTCAAAGTATGGTAAAGCATGTTTATTATATAGAGGTGTTAATATATATAACAGCTTACCAGAAGATATAAAAACAAAATCGACAAGACATATAAAAGAGTATTTCAATCCTTGATAAGAGGCTAACCTGCGTGTCTTCTTCTTGAGTATTGAATTTGAAAAAAAAAAGTTCAGTAAATATGTAAATTAATGTATAAAGTATGTTTGTATATTGTATATTTGTAAGACTATAATTATCTTATAAGATAATGTTTTATCACTGTGATAGATATACTTATTGTAATTATTATATGTTTAGAGTTTGTCCCTCTATAAACAATCTATGTTTCTTGGGATCAATAAAGTATTTATTATTATTATTATTATAAATTTATAAAGGTCAGATTTTTTGGAAAACAATTTGCATTTAAATGGATGCATTTGCGCAAATAACTATCAATCCTTTGGGACTTTGGTAACAATTTAGGAAAAATAAAATTATTTACAAAAAAGGTTCTACAACATTTTGTGATAAGTGTGAAATTTTTGTAGGAAAAATAAAAATCATTAAAATTTACTATGATTTTAACTTTGAAATTTTGAAGGAGTAGATACAAAAAAATAAGAAGAAATGCAAAATAGTAAATAAATAATACAAACTCACTAAAGTTTTGAACTTGTGCGTGAGATAATAAATGCATATAATAAAAACGCAAACACAATAAATAATAAATTTAAATCTAAAATTAGAGTAACGCTATTTACAAGAAAAGTAATGCTTTTTACAATAAAAGTAATGATATCAACAACAAAAGTAATGCTATTTACAATAAAGCTAATGATATACATACATAACCAAAGTAATCATATTTACAACAAAAGTGGTGAAAATGTATCCAATAATTACGGAAATAATTTAATTTCTCTCTTGAATTTTATTTTATTTTTATTGTTTAATACATTTTTAGGGAAAAACTATTAATGTTTGGGAATAAAACTAAAAACTACTCTGGCCGAAACTTTTTGTCATAAATGGTGCTATTTTTTGTCCTTTCTAGTTTTGTATAGGTGTACCCTTTGTTCAAGAGTAATGTTTTTCAAATAAAAATGATTTGTTATCGCCAAGATAACTGACGGATATCACAAACACATGTATGTGTTCTCTTTCTTTACCATTATTTTGAGAACCATTTTTTGTATTAATTCCACTTTATTTTAATGAAAGTCAAAGGCCCCTTCCCAAGCAAGTAAACCATATTTTAAATAAGACTGCACTAAAGCATAGTATATAATTTTTAACGTGGGAATATCCTTTACATATCTAATTTTTGAGGTTGTATATCTAAGTAGTAGTAAATATATTTATTGGAAAAACCAAAAGGCTATCGACCGAAGTCTTTCTGCCTTGTATATCTAATTTTTTTAATTTAATTTGAAAGTCCCATCTAAAATGCGCATCAAATTGTATACCTAGATATTTAGCTACCGAACATGATTTTATTACACTCCCTCAAAAGTTCAGTTTGTTAAAGTTAGTCCTTCTAGCGGTTTATATAGAAAACTGTAAAAGTTGGTTTTACTAAAAATGATTGATAGGGCTTTAAAGTCAAACCAATCCTTTAAATTATTTAAATCATTCTACATTTTAATTTTCAGACTTTTCAAATTTTTGTCATTATAGAAAATTGCATCAGCATATGTAATAACTTCACCTTACTTTGAGGTTTGAAATAGGATATTTACATATACTATAAAAAGTAACGGTGCCATGACTGTTTCTTGAGGTACACCACACTCAACAGATTGACTAACTTCTACCCACATAACATAATATGTTTTACAAATTTGTTGTTTGGAAAACAATATTTATAAATGAAAGGTTGATGAAATGTTTTACGAACATTCAGGGAAAAATATTTGCATAATTATGCAGTTAACTGTTACGCGTAAATATTTCTGAAACATTTATAAAGAAAAAATTTCTGTTATTTTTTTCAGAGAATTTTTGTTTTATTTATATCGATTATGTGTAACTGTGATTATGTTTAAACTATTAAACGGTTGTTGTTGAAAAGTTAAGTCAAGTTGAGTTGTCAAAATTTGTAGTTAAAAATGCAATTAATTTGGCTTTAGTGGTGCGTAGATGAGTAAAATCGTATAAAAAAGTAGTTAAATGTAGGTGACTACGGCCCAAGAGAGCGAAAGTATTCCTTGCGGATAATAATCTTCTCTTTAGAAAGAATTTATTTAAAAGAAATTAAAATTTTATGTAAACACACGTGAATGTTGTCCAATTATTATTTCCCCCTTATTTTTTAAAATTTCAAAATTTTTCTGCTTAGCTGAAAATAATGTGTGATTTATTGTAAAACGAAAAACGTTACTTTTTTACTTAAAAAATGTCCATAAGGTGATATATTTTTTATGCCATTGAGGCATTTGGCATAACTTCATCGAAATTAAGTTTTGCCCTTAAAAGTTCTTTTACTTTAGAATCTGATATTATTTTTGGCATAGTTATCTTTTTATATCGATATTATATAATAATTATTTTGTGGTTCAAAAAGTAATTATTAGAAATGTGAGTTTTTTAAATTTTTCTTCGTTACACATTTTCCATAAACTTGTAATAGACTGGGAACAAAAAATAATTTTTTTTTTGAAAAACTATATCCAAAAAAATTTGAAATAACGAAAAAACTTTATTTTGGATTTCTTATAGGAAATTACAATTTATGATAAATCTTAGTGTCAGAGTATTTAATTATAATTTTAAGGTCTTCAGTAGAAGTACCATTTTTTAAATACTAAAAATACTAAATCAAACTGACATAAGCTACTTAATAAAAAAACACTAGTCCAAATAAAAAAAAATAAGCTGTACTAATTAAGATTTGCCATAAATTGTAATTTCCTACAAGAAATCCAAAATAAAGTTTTTTCGTTATTTCAAACTTTTTCAAATTTGCCTTTAAAAAAAATGATTTTTTGTTCCCAGTTTATTACAAGTTATTGGAAAATGTGTAAAGAAAAAAATTAAAAACGCACATTTATAATAATTACTTTTTGAACCACATAAAATAGAATCATTATATTATGAGTACAGTAAACACGGGTGACTTTGCGGGGTACTTTAACCCTTTTATGAAAAATCCTTAGAACAAATCTAATTCTAAGGAAAATTCTAAGGAAAATTCTAAGGAAAAATCTTTTCGCGCTCGATAAAATTAACATTTATAATTTGTTGGTCTAAACCTGTCAATTGAGCGATTCTATTGAGTTTATATTACAGGAAAATCAGTGTTTTAAAGAAAGAAATGGGATTTATTACACTTTAAAATTGTATATATCGCATCAGTGCAAAACTTTTAGAAATACACGCGTTATAATTTCTATATTATGCGCAATCCTTTGGAATGATGATCCTTGGTTAACTACAGATCGATTTTATATTTTTTTATCGGTAATCCCTTGCAATAGATATATGTCGCTGCTAACATGTGTCTAATAAAAATAAAATAAAATATTGAGTTAATTTTATACGGAAAATACACTGTGAGACAAAGTTACCCGCAACCAGGGGGTAACTTTGCACACCCTGTTTTTAATTTTAATTTTTGAAACTCAGCCCCATGTAATATTATAACATAGTTATTATGAAAGAGCAACTCAAGACTCAAATATTGGTATACAAAATTTAATGTTTATAATTGTTAAAACCATAAAAATTTTAAGCTTAAGTTTGAAAGTGAGCTAAAGCCACCCGTGTTTACGGTACCTTATGGGGACATATAAATAAATAAAACACTCCAAATACCTTTAAGTGATAATAGGCAATCAACATGGCCAAAGAACACAAAGAATGAAGAAGAGCGGCAAGTCGCATCACGTGAGCCATGTAATAGAAATCTTCGTCGACGTGCACCAACTCCAGCGGATCCTCGTCCTCTTCCTCTCCGGAACCGGAACCACTTCCTTGTCCGGAACCGTCGATGATATCCGGAACCCCTTTGCTTCCGCTACCGCTTCCGCTGCCGTCTTCGCCGAGCGTGGAGACTTTGTAGAACAGCAACATGAAGTTGATGCAGAAAGCCAGGACCAAGGCGACGTATTTGAGGTTGTAGAAGTTGCGGGCCAAGAACGAGACGGCACGGTGGCCGTACGCGCTGAAGTTGATCTGGGAGACGGAGGAATCCGTCTGCACCGGTTGGTTCTTGATTTCGGACTCGATGGCCTGCATGACGGCTTGTTGGGCCGCCTGGGCCTCCACTTTTTCTTGAGCTGCGAGTTTTGCTTGCTCACCGCTAAAAAGAGACAAGTTTATATTTACCCATGGGGCGTAGCAAGGGTGTGTAAGAGGGAGGTGGGTGTCACTCCGCAACTTTTTCGGAATCAGTATTTCTGGGGTTCCGATAATACATCACGGCGCTGCACAGTGGGCTAGAGAGCCGATTTAACGCGCAAAAATTACACAATTAATGACGATTCCATATCAAGGTGTAGAGGTACCAGAGACTTGGGATTATATTTTGATACCAAATTATCATTTTCAGACCACATCACTAGTATTGTAAAATCTGCCTTAAAATGGTTGGTTTTATAAATAGAAATTTTTATTAATACTTAATCAATGAATTGTGAGGGTGCATTGAAAGTTTTGTATTATTCATTGGTTCGTACCAAGCTAGAGTACTCCTCTCTTGTTTGGTATCCATGTTATAATGCCTACACTGATTAATTAGAAAGAGTACAAAGGCGATTTTTGAAAATTTTAGCTTTTAGGCTTGACAATATTTATCCTGCTAGAGGTAATGAACATATTTTATTGTTGAATAGATTTAAACCTAATCCTTGCAATGTAGAAGATTTTTATTAAGTATTAAATTTCTGTACGGGCTGTTCAGTAATGAAATAGACAGTACCTTTTTGATATCACTCTTTAACATTCACGTACCACGAATTAATGCTATATCTATTTTAACTTTCTATAATACATATGCCAGAACCAATGTTCTTTTGAAATCTCCAGTATTTGTCATGAGTGGTAACTTCAATAAAATATGCAATGAATGTGATATTGCAGTTGCCACTATTGAAAATATTACAACGTTGACCATAAATTATTTTGAAGTTAGCTAAACTTATTTTGAATTTATATTTACTTTAATATTTGTTTATATATTCTGTATTATTATAATTGTCCAGTAATTGGAATACCTTTTCTGTTGGGCAATAAGGATATTATTATTATTATTATTAAAAATTATTTGTTTTAGTAATTCTTAGTTATTATTTATTTTTATGGTCTAATTAATGAAATTTTAATCAAAATTGCATTTTCCCATCATTAGAAAAACATATTTTCAACCCTGTCTTGATCCTTTTTACAATTTTTATGTTGTAAACGGTTACTTTATTGATGTAGCCCTAACGTATGATAGTATTTAATACAATGATAATCAAAAAGAAAAATTAATTAGTAATAAACATTGTAAGAGAAGCAATACCTTTATGCGCAATTCACAACACAAATCAAGTAATTATAATTATAAATCTTAAACTTAAACTGGATACCTGGTAAAATATCAACAGATTTAAAGGTGATTTAAAATTGTTTTATTTTCTACAGATATTAAAGAATTCAAAATTCTAGAAATTTTGTAGAAATAAAACACTTACTTATTTTGGAAGCGCTCTCTGCCTACTGTGAGTTGTTTTGAGAAGTGATTTTCAAGACGTTCACTGAAACTTTTTGTTTCGATATATTTTATTTATTTATAATGTAACTAAGAATTTAAGAGCAAAATAAAAAAAAAATAGTTTTTTTTAATTTAATTTTTATTTAAAATATTTTGCACTTTTTTAATTTTTAACTAAAAAGATTTATTTAACAAAAATAAAAATTTATCTTAGCCCAATTGGGTATACTTAATACCCAATATCTAATTTATTTCAATTAAAACAATTCTAAAAAACAAACTTTTACTTCGGAAACATTAATAATATTATAGATAATGGCATAAACTTAAAAAACATTTGCTTTTTCCAGAGCCTTTTGTAATTGTTTTTGGAAGATTGCACTTTTAACCTATATATTTGTTGTTGTTAATGTTAACTATTTATATTTTTAATTATTTATATATTGTTTTTAACTTATTTGTATTATTTATTTATAAGCTAGTATTTGTAAGTAAACACTGTCCATTTATGGTATGTACTTTTGGGCAATAAATACCTATTATTATTATTATTATGTTGGGAAACTTTATATGTGGTGAGTTAAAAATTGTAGTAACTGCACCTATTAAAAAATGCAGTTCTGGAGCTAGGATTACGACATTTTTTTCTTCAATGATTGGTTAATTACAACGGTTTTGGTAAATACTTAATTTTGCTTTATTACCATTTGCTTCACTCCACCAATTAATAGTATATAAATATAATAGTATATTAAATCTGACATCTGTCAAATTTAACCTTACTTTTTAGCAATTTTAAATGTTATTATAGTCGCCTTCTCCCAATTTAAATCCCGATTGGTTCAAATCACAGTGAATATTGAAATCACTGATGCTTAACAACGTGATTCATGAGTTCATTATTCGCGTTGTTAGGCAGGTAATTTATAATGTTTATTATTATTCACGAAAAAACCCAATATTATGCAATAGGAGTATATAAAATATTTTTATTTAATGTCAAATAAATACACCCAAATCACCAATTCTTGGCATTGTTAGATACATTTTTAATAAAGGAAACAAATGAATACTTTTAAGAGTTAAATTAAAACTTTAACTGCATAATATGCAGTGCATATTGTAAAAAACAGTCAATAATAGGAAAAAGTAGCAAAAACTATAGAACTAATAAACATACAATTCTTTTGCTCTTAAATTCTTAGTTACATCATAAATAAATAGAATATCACAAAAGAAAAAGTTTTACAGAAAGTCTGAAAATCACTTTTCAGAATAGCACCGTGATATTCCAATATTTCCAATGAATGGGGAAAAAATTTCGGCGATTAAAGCCTTTACATTTTAAGATTCAAAATGTTCGAAAATCGGAATCTTCGCTACGCCTCTGTATTTACCTAACTGTAAATTAAACGCATAGAGTAACTAAAATATTTACCCCAAAAGATCCGATAAAGTTAGTGGTTGTTCCATTACTTCTCCTTCTGCATGTTCACCACCCTCCTCTGGAGTGGTCTCTCCTTCACCTGATGACTGCTGACTTCCCGTTGGAGATTCATGTGGCGCCATCTTAAATCTGTCAAAAACATGTAGACAAACAATACTTATTTTCACAAAATGTTTACTTACTGTCCCTCTTCCTTTGTTATATCCATTCCGAAAGCCTGTATCTCTTTGGGCGGTTCTTCAGCCGCCGGCAACGGCGGTAACATCCTCAAGTGCTCCACTTTCATTTCTTTGACTTCGATAACCGGTTCTTCCACTAAAGGTCCGCGCATTAACGACATAAGTATCCCGAGGAAGTATTTCAAAACCATTGCGACACCAAATCCAGAATAATAGAACGCGTAAAAAATCAACTTGAAGAAACCAACGAATAGTTCCGGTATCGTCATCTGCTGCATCTCGGCGATCTTATGTTTAATATTGGTAGGGCTCAAAGACGAAAGGCCATACGAAATTCCCTCTTTAACCGCTTGATAACCTCTTTGTATCGGATTTTTACGCCTTCTTTCCTCATCCTCGTCCGACATATAACTGTAGCTAGCCGCCCTAGTTGGACCTCCACCTCCAGATTCTTCAACCGCCATAAGTCCACTCGCGTGTTGCATTTCAAAGATGGCATCCTCGCAGAAATTAATGAATGCCTCCAACTTTTCTTTATCGCCACCCTCTGTGACAATGGAGTAGAAGAACGCTCTCTTCGACTCTTTAATTTGCGGTTTCTCCCATTGCTCAATGTTACTCTCTTTAATCTCGAAGTAAACTCTCTCAATGCGTTTGCTGCCACCCATAATCTCAATGCGTCCCAGGAAAGGCTCGAAGTAATTCAACACCGAACCGGCAGTTTCCAAGAACCTCGCCAATCTCGGTTCGTTGGGCATGTGTTCGGATAAATTGGTCAAAAGTACAGCCAAATTAAAACCGATTTCCTTGGCCGGTTCGTGGAAACGATCTATGAATCCGATGTAGTCGATTTTACCATCGTGATTTGACTCGCAACAAGCTAAAAGAAACTCGATTTCCTCTGGGGTGTAACTTTTTTGCTGTTCCATCTTTTCCTTGAAATCTTTGGGGTACACCCAACCGTCGTTGTTAAGGTCGATCTCAATGAAACTTGCTGACGATGTGAGGTCTTTCAGTTTCAAGAACATGTCGAAATATTTTAGGATTAGTTCGACGTTGGATGCGCTTTCTACCAAGGTATCCACCATTTGCTTACCAATGGTGCCATTAACAACATTACCTGAAAATGCGTCATTAGAATAGTACTATACAATTTGTGATGAATTAGTTTTTTGCTTCTTAATTTTGTTTATCCTTTTTAAACCAAAACAGTTTCAAAAACTTTACTGTTTTGACCTTTTTATTAGTTTTACCGTCATACTGTTTTTAATAAATATAAAAAATTTTAAAATATGAAAAATAACCGAACACTAAAATCGGATAAAAATATAACCACAAACTTCTTAAATTATTTTAAAAAAGCTAAACATTTTAGATGTTCCCTAAAGGTACAAAACGCCAACTTAACCACTCCTACTATCAGCGAAACAATATTATAAAGTTCTTCAAGGAAAAAATTCCGCCCCAGGACATGACCTGATCTCTAATTGGTTTAAAAGTTGGCGAATAAAGGAAATCTCAATTTATTATTTTTAACAAAAAATCAAAGATGACTCGCCACAAATCTTAATTAAAAAACCAAAAAATATAAAATATCTCTGAATGATTGTTGACTCGAAACACGTGACCCATTAAACAAAACATTTCAAAGCACTGACCATTACAAGGTATATGCTATACCGTATAATCAGCAAAACAGCCACAAAGTTTGTAGTACAAACATATACAAAATAGAAGACCTTTCCAAAAAATCTTGAGACTGTAGAAACGACAAGCCTTCGGCATCTAGCCAAAATTAAATAGGTATTAAAAAAAACCTTATTCAACCCCTCAAATCTGCTCTAAGAAATTCAGTAAAACAAGTACAAACCTTGAAATAATGGAACCCTTTATTATTCCTGGAATAAAAGGCATCCCAAAAAAAGAAAATTTCCAGTAAAATCTCAGTGGAAAGTTATTTTGGAGCATATAAATTAATTCCAATAATTGTTTTTTCTTTTTAAGATAATTTAGTCACAGTTTATAATTAATATCAAGTAATGTGTTAAATATAATATAGGCAGCAAGACCTCTGTCGATAGCCTTTTCAATAAATGTATTTACTAATAAGAAAAAATCACAAAATTAACATTTACTTTTATTTCCTTCGCGTTTTTTCCTAATTAAGTACGAGGTTTTAGATTATTCAATAATTATGTACATATCCCTTATTAAAGACGTAGGCACGTAAGCTGAAAAACCGAGGTATTCTTGTTAATTTATTTATCAATTTAATATAATAATTACATTATTGATAACAATTTTTGGAATAAAAACCCGTATCACACATCATTTGTTTCAGTTTCGATCGAAGCTTTTTAGTAAATCAGACAAGTACTTGATAAAATTGAAAAAGATGGAAGAAAATGTCGAAGAAGCTAAAGTCGCCATCAACATGTCCAAGTAAGTTTTTTAATTACAAAAATCTTTGGTTAATAATTTTTAAAAATATATGGGCCAATCCATATCAAATCAGCCAATTTAATTTTTTATTTTTTACCAGTTTGTACTACACTCAGAGAGTTGAAAACAGGTTTTCATAACTTTTTTAAATGTTCAGTATTTTTGTGAGCGGTCATTTTGCATTTTACAGAGGTTTGCGTTAAAGTTTGTAGCTTATTGGTTTTTAAAGGTATTTAGTTTATGAGCATAAAATGTACAATTTTTTTGTCCAGTAAATAAACCATAAAGGTAGGTAAATGTTAACGCTTAAAAAGTAAAAACTTTCTCTTTTACAATTCAAAATGTTTAAGATAAAAAGTTTTCAGAAAACATTATTTTGTTGTGTTGTTATTAATAGTTACAGTTTGATCACTGATAATATTTTAGTTTTTTAAAAATGACTAAAATATTCTTTGATTTTTTAAAATCAGGTATTTTCAATCTAATATATCTCGGACGGAAATCACATTAAGAATCCAAAATTTTTAATGTTTAAAATTTCATCAAGTTTTATAGTTTAGACATTTTTTAAAAAGTTAAAACATTGTGATTAATCTAAAATTGGGTGTTTTAAGAAAAAATCTTTTATTGTGTTAACATTTCCATCACCTAAACTTTGATAATTTTTTAGTTAGACATTTTCAAAAATAACTAAAATATTCTTAGATTCCTCTAAACTCGAGTAATTTTAAACTAAATTATCTCGGAAGGAACCCACTTTAAAAAACCAACATTTTTAGAAAACCTTTAATTATTGTGTTCAATTTCATCACATTTTTTAGTTGAATATTTTTAAAAATAGCTAAAATTTTAGGAAGTGCTATTACATTGCTTAATGTAAAAATCTAAAAAAACCACATTGTTAATGTTTAGTTTTGTTTGTTATAATTAATTTAACTTTGTCTGGAGTCCGCCCGGTATAGTAAATGTTTTGTTTCTTGGGAAAACAAAAAAAAAGCAGTTTCGTTTGGCAGAAAAACGACACAACCGATTGAGGCATCGACGCGTGGTTTTGATAGTTTTGTTCGCTATTTTTAGTTATCGTTATTAGTATTAGAAAAGTTAAAAAGTGCAAATATTAAATACGTTGACGCCAGCTCTTGGAGCATTACAGTTTCACGAATAACATTAACATCAATTTCGTGTTTTGGTCAAACTAAGGGGCTGTAGCGGATCAACAGCCAGCTGGCACGAAGAAAGAACAGAAATTCCTGGTAAGTCCCAAAAGTTAAAGATTAAAACACGATGGTCCTTCTTAGTTAGAATAAAAGTAATAAAATAATCAACATATTGTTGGTCTTCGAACCGAATCACGTTATTTGATTTTGCACTTTTTAGCAGAATTTTCTCTATCGAATTTACCGAACAGTTCCTATGATAGGCTAGGTGTTGTCAAGCGATTGGGGCTTTGCATCAATTGTTTGCGGCAAGGACATGGTGTCCGCTTTTGTTCCTCTATTCATTCCTGTGCAGTTTGTGGAAGAAAGCATCATACCTTGTTGCACTTCGATTCCAATTTGACTTTGCAAAATAAAACCAGTGGTTCAGAAAATGTTGTTTCGCAATCAAAGGTGAATGTGCCAACGTCCAACGTTGCTTCAACTTCTGCCCGCACAGACAATATACTTTCTTTGGCAGCAGAATCGAATTCGTCGGTTCTACTCTCAACTCTTCTTGTTCTTGTTCGTGATTCTCGCAATGTTTTCCAACCAGTAAGAGCGTTACTGGACTCTGGATCTCAAACTTCGTTTATTTCGCTTAAATGTTTAAACCGTCTTGGTCTTCAAAGTTCCTATTGTCGCGCCAGTATTACTGGAATTAATTATAGTTCTCCGGTTAGGGCAGAAGGAATAACATCTTGTGTTTTAAGGCCGAGAAAGGGAATAGACCCCCAGTTGCAGGTTGAAGCCATTGTTTTATCCTCACTAATTTCCAAGGTGCCCTCCAGAATGGTTGACGGGTCACAGTGGGATCATATTGTGGGACTACATTTGGCTGATCCAGATTTTAATAGTTGTAAATCTGTGGATATGATATTAGGTGCTGAAGTCTTTTCGCAGATCATAAAATCTCGAAGAGTTTCGGGCCATCCAGGTCAACCTATTGCCATTGAAACCTCCTTTGGATGGATTTTGATGGGTAGAGTTGACGCTGTTCCTTCACCGTTGATCTCTTTATTTACTTCTGTTGATCACTTTGATCTTAGGAAATTCTGGGAGATAGAAGAAGTTCCACAGAAACAATTTTTATCGTCGGAGGATCAACTGTGTGAGGAAAAGTATACTGCCTCGGTTCATCGTAATTCAGATGGTAGATATATTGTTTCACTTCCCTTTAAGGAACCAGAGCCGGTATTTTTAGGGGATTCCCGTTCGATAGCCCTTCGTCGCTTTAAATCTTTAGAGAGAAAATTTGATCAAGATGATTCTTTCAGATCTTCTTATGGTGCAATATTTCAAGAGTATTTAGACTCAGGAAAAATGGAAATTGCCGAGCCTCCTAGTTCGAAGGAGGCTAATTACTACTTACCCCATCATGCGGTTAAAAAACATGAGGGTAAGGGAACAAAGCTTCGAATTGTCCTAGATGCCTCCGCAAAGTCATGCGAAGGTAAATCGCTTAATAGTTGTCTTTTAGCTGGTCCTAAGCTACAAACCGATATCGCTAATCTTCTGGTTAATTTTCGCATTAATAGGATCGCCTTTACGGCTGATATTAAGGGCATGTTTCTTCAGATACTGGTAGAGGAATCACATCGGGATTATCAACGTTTGCTTTGGAGATTTAATCCTCTTGAACCCATTCAAGAATATAAACTAACAAGAGGAACTTTTGGATTAACTTCGTCACCTTTTTTAGCGCAACGCACGATACAACAGTTGGTTCTCGAAGAAGGTCTTGAATTTCCACTGGCTTCAAAGGCTTTGTCTGAATGTCTTTATGTAGATGATGTTTGTAGTGGAGCAAATACTTTACAAGAGGCCAAACAGTTGCAAATTGAGCTAATAGAGTTGCTTAAAAGGGGAAAATTTGAGTTGGGAAAATGGGCTAGCAACTCCACTGAATTGTTAGCAGATATTCCAAATGATGACAGGCAAGTAATTAACTTTGATTCTTCAAGCGACATGTTTAAAATTCTGGGTCTCCAGTGGATTCCAACATCCGATTGCTTTACATTTAGTGTTGGTCCAGTTGCGAATGAAACTATTACTACAAAACGCTCCATTTTATCAGGTATCGCTAGGATCTATGATCCATTAGGTTTCTTAGCTCCTATTACCTTTTTTGCGAAGCATCTCATTCAATATTTGTGGTCTTTGGGTTTGGAATGGGACGAAGTTCCTCCTTCTGATGTGGTAGAAAAGTGGTCTCATTTTAAACGTGAATTACCTTTGCTAAGTTCATTAGAAATTCCAAGATTTTTAGAGCTTAATGGTTCAAAGGGTCAAGTAGAACTGCACGGGTTTTGTGACGGCAGTGAGAAAGGTTACGCAGCCTGTATTTATCTACGACAGGTTCATTCAGACGGCCGTATCCTTGTGCATCTCCTGTGTGCTAAATCTAAGGTAGCTTCTCTTAAGAAGGTTACACTTCCTAGACTTGAGCTATGTGGAGCCGTTTTATTAGTTAATTTATTTC